TATACTATAAGAGATTTATTACAGAAAAACTGTTAACGCTGCGTATAAAGTAACGCATATACTTAGGATAAGCATATACCTACAGAGGTTGTATCACTTAAACCGTGTTTTTAGTTGAAATTATCACAAATGATATATGTATTTTCTTACCTATATAACAATAAACACTAAATATTATTATTTTTTTCAGTTTTTATAGGTTCAGAACTCTTCGATTGCAAGTCCGAATGACACTTAGAACCTTTTTGGTATTTGTCTTTTTCATATAACTTTAACATTTACTTGGATATGTATACAAAGTATTTTTTTATTTATCCCATTAAAAGTAATATAAAATATATATCCACAAGAAGTGTTCTTTTAATATATTTACAAAAATATTTTTAAAGTTATGAAAAAATTTATCACTCTTAATATTATTGTACTTTGATAGAATCTTCTTAAAGGTTTAGACACAGTATTCATAATTAACTTTGGTTCACTTATAAATATTGCTTACAGATCTATATAATTTTTATTCTGAAAGATTTTAAAAATGTATTTTATTATTTTCATTTCGTTACAACGCGACTTTGAAGTTACTGATGTATTAAGTTCTAGAAGGTTTTAGTTATTACAGAAGATAAGTTAAACAAAAAAATCTAAATACCTAAATACATTCTTTAGTCATTTAAAAATATCCTACTTTTTAATAAATTTAAACCTATACTCGTATGCAATTGTATTTAAATGTAAGAATTACGCAGGGACGTTTATATTGTGATTAAACTACAGATACCAAACAGAAAAAAAGAACTTTTAAGGTACGAAAAATAAATCTATCAGATTATCAAATAAAAGAGAGATTTTGAATTATACTGATAATAATATTAATAATATTAAAAATATTAAGTGTGATTTTAAGTTATAATATGAATTATTAGTCTAAAGAATTTATTTATTTATTTAAGTATTTGTAGATCTCTCAAACTTGAGCTGGTAATAAAAATAATTAAATTCTGTTTTGTAAATCTTCAAAGTTTCCTTATGTACTTCACAATTTTTGAATTTATTATCTTTTATATTCATATACATTACTTATAACTGTATATATTTTATTATTGTTATACTTACAACGTTCAATTTCATTAAATACCTAGAAAATAACCACGATTATTCTCATTGTTTAATAAAATAACAAAAGTTTCGTACATGTAACAAAACTACAACGTACACTGAACACGTAACGCTTATAAAAGATCTTATTTCTTAGAAGTTTTCTAACTTTATATTAAATGAATACATCTATAAGTTTTTCGAGTAAGGACCAATTTACAAAGTAAATGGCATCTATTTATTCATTGTATTAAGTAGTTCTGACGCGATATTTTACAACAGATCATAATGAGATCTAAGATTTTCGCGAGTATTCATTTAAATGAAACTAATATTCATTTAAAACTAGTATCCATTTAAATGAAACTAATATTTTCGGATTACTACGAGATTTTTTATTTTTGAAATGTGATATCTCGTCTGCCCGTGATCACGGTTGCTGTAAAGTACCTAACCGAAACGTCGAGAGTATGTAGTTTATAATCAAACTAAAAATCGCGTAGTAAATCCGAAAATATTAGTTTAATACATCGTTTTATTTAGGTAAACATTACTTTATTTACTTTAGTAAAGTAAAGTAACATTACACCTTAATTGAATCAAAATATAAATCATTATATTTTTCTCTATACTACAAAACTAACGACTAAATGTTGTTAAACCCTTGCTTTTTTATATACTAATTTACAGTCTTTGTAAGTGTAAGTAAGTTGTATATATAAATAAGAAATATATATATATATATGATTGCTTAAGCTAACCTTTAGAATGTATTAAAAATAAATTTATACATAATTATGAACAAATATATAAGTTATTATTATATAAAAGACTATATTATATTTATCTTTCTCTGTTTAAAATAATTATATTTACCAAATTTTTAAGACAGTAATTACGTAAAATATATATACAAGTAAATTATATACATACCTATACATATAAATATAATTTACTTGTAAAATTTAATTATTCGATAGCTATTTTTATACTGAAAATACTTTTACGTTTTATTGTTACAATACAAGTTTTTTCTATGAAATAAATTAAAAATTGGTGTGAATTATTTTTATTTGATGCCAAATCGATCCCCTAAGTAGGTATGGGTCAAAAAAGCCGTGGGGGCAGATTTCCCATATTTATTCGGCTATGCCCTTATACACTAATTAAATATTCAGGTAAAGCACTTTTAGATAAAATTTTAATCAATTAAAACAATAAGTTTCATTATATTATGATTTTCATTACTATTACTTTTAGTTTCGTAAGTATTAATACAAGGTAAGGTAAAAAGTTTTTTATACGCGCCAAGAACAATGTTGGAATGGATCTGTACGAACTGAAATTGGATAACTTTGGAATATATGAATAATATATTGTATTGAATGAAATAGTTTTATGACGAAAACTTGGATATTCCAGAAATAATAAGATAACAGTTAGCTAGGTAATATGTGTTAATAAATTTTTATATTATATATATTTATTAAGATATTTATTTGCTATATACAAAATAACAATAGTTTTTAATATAACAAGCTACTATTTCATTCTTTTACTTAGGTTTATACGATCGTATATTAATTAACCAGAGATACTTTAACATATTTATAAAGATATATTGAAAAAGACATATATTAAAATTATTATTATTGAAACATGACATTTTGATTAAACTACGTTCGGAAATCCTTTGTTTTATAACAAAACTAGCTTTCCGCCCGCAGCTTCGCCCGCGTTGTGTTTGGTTATATCCCGTTTCCAAGAGATATTTTAAAAATTCTGGGATAAAAACTATCCTATGTTCTTTCTCAAGGTCAACTCTATCTCTGTACCAAATTTCATTAAAATCAGTTCAGTCGTTTAGGCGTGAAAGCGTAACAGACAGACAGACAGAGTTACTTTCGCATTTATAATATTCGTAGGGATTAAAATATAGGTATAAAAGTATGAATATTTTTAAGCTATTAAAAAATATAGATTAAATCCTACATAAATAGCTTGTGGATTATCAATATTATATGTTTAGTGATAAAATCCCAGTACAGATATTTGTAACCACATATGTATAATATATATGGTAATGATTGTTTGTTCATCCTAACTTCTCATCTAGATCAGCTTATAGAATTTGCATTAACATAGATTACAGAGTATTACATTGCCGTTACCGAGAAAATTAATCAAACCTTCAGTTTATCAATGTTGCCTCTCAATACTACAATTAATTACACTACCATTAAAAACTTAAATCACTAACAAAAATATGTTTACTTTAAGATACATATATGCTTTTGTATATAATATAATTATAAAAAATACACAAAGAAAATACATATTTTTATTACGCATTGTCTGTTGTCACTTATTGTTCGAATACAGAAAAAATATCCAAAGAAAAGATTAACAAATGCTCGGGATGAGAAATAATTAAGGAACTAAGTTTGTTTTTATTATTTTGTTTATTATGTTATAAATAAAAACTCTTAAGCTTTTTTATTCTATAAAATTGAGAACTTACTTAAATATATATTTTGCAAAAACCATACGATAACATCTCATACATTCCTCTACAATAATTATCTAATGATTAACATTTCTCTTTATTTCAATTTGAATACTATAAATAATAATTGTTATCTAAGTAAAAAAAATAATATAACTAGTATTATTTTTAAAATCTCTTGTATTTTTCGAGAAACCATTTTATATAGAGAGCCTCGTCGTAAAATGGACGACTTAAAACGGACCTTAATTTTTGCTTGACCTTCCTGAGATACAGAAAATGATATTAAACATCAAATACATGCTACAGTAACGAAGTTTTGCAATAGTCTATTAAAAACTACGCAAAATTAAGCTGCCTTTAAACCCACTTTGGTATTTCGGCATAATTTAGTAAACAAAACATATTTTAACGTTTAGAAATCAATAACTTTTTAATATGTTGTCAAAGTAAATATATTTAATTCAAAGGATCAAGCTAGCTATTCGTCTTTAAAACTATTTTGAAAAGTAATTACTTAGAAACATCGGTAACTATCCTCATTAAACAAGAATATTCAAGTAATGACCAATTCATTAAACCGTATTTGATGTATTTGGAATTGATTATAATTATGCCCTGTATTATTTAACCATTAAACGGAATAATGCTCTGAAAGCTATTGGCCTTGAAAATATATTTACATAGGCACATAAATTATAAACATTTATAGCATTACGTAACGCAACAGAATATGTATCGTTTCCTGCTTGTCGCCAATATCACAACTTTACTAACTTTAATATTATATATACGAAAGTAACGCGTTTTACAAAAATAACCTCACAAATTGACGTATATTAATTATTAGCGTCACTGAAAAGTATGATAAAGCGTTCAATCGCATCGTTGAGGTACAGAAAAGTTGTTTTGAACAAAGAGAAGTATGGTCGAGTCGAAAATAATGTTGGTGAGGCCAACAGAACTCGGAGCGGATGTTATATAGCTACGTAGATAAAACCTTCCGCCGTCGCCAGCGCCTCTAGTGGCGGCTGAGCGAAACACGCTTCATGTTCGTGTACACTGAGCGAAACAAGTTCACGCCACGTGCTTTATGAAATATATTTATTTATATTGAATTTTATAATGGTGGTGAACTGATTTTGTGATTTCAGATTATATTGATTTAATTTGTAAATTACCAATGTACAAAAGTGTTATATTGTTTAATTAACTTTATTAATTAATGATATTCATAAACTAATAATTATAATTTATTATTTCCAAAAATTCAACTTAATGAGGATATTATGAATTATTATTAATTAAAATATTTTCTTCTTAGAATGTATATGTTATCGAATAAAACAACAGATAATCTAAATAATGTTTATTATTTGTTCTTTACAAAACACATTCTCTAAAACCCTTGTGCATGGGCCCAATCTATTAAAATATTAACATAATCTCCCTTCACGTCTATAAACTTTCCCATTTCGTGTACTCTCGTTTCAACGTAACGATTACATTTATTTTTAAGATATTTCTTGATGAGGTCGTTCATCAGCCAGATGTCGCCTTCGATTCTTTTTATTTTGGTTATTTTTCTTTGGCCTCTGTATCCAATTTCAAGATATATTGGTATTTGATGATTTTTATTCCTTGCTATGTAGTAAGGTAAATTTTTTGCTTCCTCTTTCGGTGCGATCCATCCTGAAGGATAAGATTCTTTTGGTTTTATCTGCGGAACTGTTTCTAAAGGTAAGAACCGCTCCACATACCCCCATTCTGGGGGGTTTTTTACTATTTCAAACTCATACTGCTCTTGGATTTTAGAAACAAACGGTGAGGCCGCGTAATTGGAGTATTTTCTAGACAACGGTATCTGCAAAAAAAATAATTATTAATACAAAAATTGTTAATAATTATTATCTTATCCCGAAACACTAACTTATAGTATAACCTAACCTAAAAGTTATATTCTACGATGCAGAAGGCAATTGTTTATTTAATTGAAAATAAAAATATTAAAATAATTAAAAATATTTCATAAATATCAAACATTTTCAAGTGAATCACTGAAAATTAAATAAACTGTTGGAAGGGGAAGCTGTTTGGTAGGGTGTACGGCCATAGTTCTGTCACATGTCGCGATCAAAGCGACATAATAACGTAAATCAAGTAAAAATAATTAAATAATTACCGATATTGACTCCGGTTTAAGTCGTGCACCCAAATCAGAGGCGTTGTTCAGGATCCGAACGGTTTTTCCAACAAAAAAACGTGCAAACGCATACTGTGAACGCCACACAGTCGCCATTTTGAATAGCGAATAGAGCGATTGCTTGCTACAAGAGCAATAAGAACTATATTATTCGTTTCGAAGGAAACATTATGGCGGACGCCTGCAGACATTTGGGCTTTTCAAAAATCGTTTTCTAAGATATTTGCGTGTTTTTATTGAACTTTTAAGCATATTATGGTGCGTTAAGTGTGGATTTGACATTTTATTGTGGTTTTTGGCAGTTCCGTGGAATAAATTGTGAGTATTTTGTGAGTACATAGCGGAGGTGCGCCACGGGTAGGGAAATGATTTGGTGCTTTCTGTCTCTCGCCGACGACGCATACGCAGCGCTCAGCTGTAGGTGGCGTTGTGGTCAAGATATGTACCATCAAAACATGAGATTTTCATGACTTTTCCGGCTGGATTTTCTAAGCAACGGGCGGCTTAAACGTAAATATTATTACATATTATGAATCAGTGGAACTTTAGCTGTGCATTAAAAGTTCGAATCATTTATACATTTCAAAATAATTATGTTAATATTAACTCGGAACTTGTTGAACGTCGTGGATCGCTTTTGTTTATTACGTGCTGTTAACTTGATTTGTGAACGAATTACGTGCAAATAATTCCGTTTTTGTGTTTAAATGAACGAAATAGTTCAAAATACTTAAAAATTTTAAACCAGTGTTGACGAAATTATTATATTGTAGAATTCTATATTCATAAAATTCATTTTTTAATATTAAACAATATTAAATTAATAATATTCAAGGAATTTATTTCATTGTTGTTGTATTTCAGGATCAGTTCGTGTATCGTTTGATATTTATTATAGCCAAAATCCTGTTACAAGCACAGAGAGCAAGAGAGCTCTAACAGTAATAAGTTACTACAAGTTAATCAAGGACCCAGGAATATTATATTATATATACAAACAGACTGAGTGTTAACGCTCAGTGTTACAAGCCAGACATCTTCTAAAAGTTGTCCGATCAATTCTGATCAGCTCATTCAAGCAAGGCTGACAAAGAAATACCTGATGTCGGAAAAACAGAAACACCCACCTCACATTCCATCATGAAAACTAAACATTCTAAAGAGGAGCAGGACAAGATTGATGAAGAAAGTGTAGTGGAACCAAAAACAAGAGCTCGGAAGAAGGCCTCGGACCTCAATGAAGATGACAAAACAAAGTCTCTACAAGATGATCCTAAAACATCCAAAGACCTAAAGAAGAATGCACCTAAACCTAGAGTAGTTGTAAAGAAAAAGCCTTTAGGTATCAGGAAGACAAAAACTTTAAGGAATAAAAAAGTAGCCATCGCCAAGAAGAATGTTTTAAGGAAAACTGTCAAGAGGCCTAGGAAGGCTAAGATTGAATCTGACACATCACAAGACAAGGATAATATCCCATTGATACCCGCTGCGGAGATTAAGAAGGAACCGATCGAGGAGGCCGCATCTAATTCACGGTCTTCGAGCCCTAAAACGGCTGGCAGAAGAGTGAGACTTAGTTCTGACATGGTAATGATGAAGTCAGTACTAGGGGATAGTCCAAGTAGTTTAGTCCTTGGACCCCGCACCAGTCCATATTCAATGAGATCGGAGAGAAGTAATAGTCCATCATTGTTCGAAGGCAAGAACCTGAGGAGTGGCAAGCCGAGGAAAGTTAAGAGCAATCTACTCAATGAAGTTATGATGAAGGAACAGAAAAAAAGACGCAGGTTACTCTCAGACTCGAAAACAAACGAACAGACAGACACAGATGAATGTAGGAAATCTAAGAGAGGCCGCTCATGTTCAAGAGATGGCAGCGAAATCTCCAAATGCTCGGACATCACTGAATCAGATATAAGCCTCAATGAACCCATGATTGATGGTGAGGCTAAAGAACTCAGTAAGAACTTAGATAAAACTAAGACTGACCTAGTTATAGATATTGAAAATAATGTACAGATCTCCCCTATTGGAAAAGTGCCTTCTCTTAGTGTCGACTCGAAACTGAAAAACAAGCAGGATGCTGAAACTAGTATACTAAAAGAAAAAGATAAGAAGAAACTGAGCTTAAAAAGAAGTACTTCATTAGATTCAGACAACAATAACAGTAATAGGATTAGGTTAGAAAATGTAAATGTACCAGATTTAGAAGAGAAATATGTGTTGAAGACTGAAGAATCACGTGAAACGCTTTTAGAACGTAGTAGTATATTGAGTAGTATGTCTATGACGTTTAACTCGAAGGAAGTATCTAAGAATATAAGGAAAGCTAGGAGGGGGAAGAAAGCTGCGACCACATCTAGACCAATAACTAATCAAGCAAACAAGAATGGTATCACTAGTACTATAACTAACGATTTAGTTGAAGACAAACACGAAACTGTTGACACACTGTCAAAAGAAATAAGTGATCTTATCAACGATCTAGACCAAAACATAGACCGAGATCAACAGTTGACCAATGAGTCCGATGTTAATACAGATCACTTACAAACTAAACCGGTGAGGCAATTCTATGGACTTTCAAAGCCTCTAGGAGACAACAACAGCATTGCTGCACCCGAAACTCCAATAAAAGACAAGGACACAATATCTGCTATATCAAATGAATGTACACCCTCAAAGAATGATGACAGTGAAAATATAAGACTTCATTATGAAGAAGATTCAGCTGAAAAATGCCCGGAAAATAGACAGGAGATAGCATTCAAATGTACACCAGTGGCCAGTATAGATAAATTAATGGATAGACTGAAAGAATTTGAAGAATTGGATAAAAGAAGACAAAGGCAAGAATCTGACTCAAATACTAAGACAAGCGAAGGGAAATCAGTTGTTATATTAAATGATGTGGTTTTGATACCTAAATCTGGGGACATCAAGCCATTGAAAGACATGCAACCTGTTAGGTCACCTGAAAAATTAATTGAAAAGGAGAATGTTCTCAGTTGTTTTGAAAATAACTCAGCTATATCTATAGTTAAGAGGGATCAAGTGAGGAGATCTATAGATGTGGACTTGCCAAACTCTGTGACATTGATTAAAAGGAATAGTGTTAGCGCCAGAAAGGAATCCACAAGCTCTAACCACTCCAAAGAGTCTGATGCTATCAGTATTTTTGAGAAGTCTCTGGGCAAGGATGTAACTTTGACCGAAATAAGGAAATCCGTGGAAAAATCAGCGCCTCAACAGATAGATTTACATCAGTTTGCGACATTACACCCCAACAGCCCCAGCCAGGCCCTGGCCAACGCAATAGACTCAAACCAAATATCAATAACCCGTAACAGCGACACAAAGATGCACAGTTCAAATGAAGTTCAAATAACTAAGAAATCATCCGTATCCTTGATCCGAAAACAATCTGAATCAGCCATTGATGGGGATGAAATTATGGCTACCATCGAGAAAATTAAGTCACCACCTCAAATCAAGTCGCCACCACCTCAAATCAAATCACCACCACATCAAAACAAATCGCCAGCTATATCTGTAACGCAAACGCCCGTGTCTATTAAATCACCAGAGGCCTCACAGCCTAAAGAACCTGAAGCAATTGCACCACCTTTAGATAATGTTAAATCTATGCCCGAAGACATATCTTTGACCTCGGAAGTCCCAAAACTGGATAGTGCCATCACAGAAACGGCTAAAACCGAAACATCTGTAGGACAGGTTGAAAATTCAAATGAAAATATAAAAATAGAAAAAACCAATCCCGATGTCGATATGGACGATGATAGTAGATCGATGTCGCCTGAACCTATACAAGATGATGAAAAACTAGACTCAAACGAAACTAAATCTCAGGAAAAATGTAGCCAAGCCAAATTAGGTCCTAAAGTAAAATCAGCTCGAAACTCTACAGAGCTGCCCGGTCCCAGCAACATAATACTAGAAACTCCGGAAAGCCAAAAGCGAAAAGAAAATGTACTAAGAACACTCGGCTTACTAACACATAAAGCAGCGAATGAGGCTAAGATTGAGAAATTGAAGGAAAAAGAACGGATCTATGGTCCTAATTACTATGCTATGGGCAAGGGTAAAGCTAGCAAATCAGATTATACAGGGACTTTGAAAACAGTGATCAAACTCAGTCGTGGTGTTGAGCGAGACAAGAAAAAATACAGAAGTTCATTAAAAATGACTTTCCAAAAAAGTAAAAATAGATCCGGCAAACCTGCTATAGAAATGGGAGAAACAGCTAACGAAGATGATGCCTTCTACACCATTGAAAGACGAGAGGTGAGCTTAGTTAAATAATTTAACTTTATTTATTATATTATGGTTAAAGATACTTTATTTTCTCAAAAAGAAATTACATTTCACTTACTCGAGAAAATTATGACTATAAACATATTTCAAATTTAAACTTCGACAATCATAATAAATGTATCACTAGGTAGTTTAACATATTCTTACAATAAATTTGGCTTTAAACAAGAAATTTAAAACATACCCTTATTCCATTATATATTTTAAATACTACATTATCCCTTATAAACTTTTGTTAATTGAAGATTTTGTATGATATAATTTTGTTTGCAACCAAAGATATAAGAATTGAGAAGTATTTTTTCTCAATACATTAATGTCAATGTAATGTTATTGTTTATATTATCAACAATTATAATTCTTTCTCTTAACAGAAGTATCAATTTTGTTAAAGTTTCCACTATAATTTTTTTTTATAAATTGTAAATATATATGAATTCATACTTATACTTAGTTACTACTATTACTATCTTAACTTTGTCTTATATTACATTATTTATTTTAATATTATCTACATTATTCCTAAATAAATTTTATTAATTGAAGATTTTCTATGGTATAATTTTGTTTGCAACCATGTAAGAATTGAGAATTATTTTTTCTTAATACATTAATATCAATGTAATGTTATTATTTATATTATCAACAATTATAATTGTTTCTCTTAACAGAAGTATCAATTTTGTTATATTTTCACTATACAATATTATTATAAATTGTAAATATATATATGAATTAATTTTCTATAGTTTTAATGAATGTATATTTTGTTTTCAGGGTTGTCCTGGGACACCGAACGATGGTGGGCACAGAAAATCTCATTACAGTAATCGGCTTAACCATGGTGTGTGGAAATTGCACTAAATCCTGCTCCCATGGCTATAACCATAAAAAAATTGATTTTCTTTCTAATTACATAAAAAATACTCAAATTTAGACTCAAATGTTTGGTCATAGCCATGTATCTATTGATTGTCAGATTTAATATTCAATATTCTTCTTCTTCCTGGCAACCTCCCAGCTTCAGCCAGGGTCTGTCTATTTAATATTGAATATTATTGGTATATATATATATATATATATATTGTTTTGACATGAATATTAATTCTGGCAATGATATAAAACACTAACACTGGCGTGCCTATCCTAAACACTAAACTCACAAATAATCTACATACAAATAATTGTATCAAGTTGCATGAACAAAATTATGTATGCTTTAGTCATTACTAATATTATCTAAAATGAAAGCTTAATTTAAATTATTACAAAGGGGAATATTTGTAAGGGAAATTATTTTTCATTCACTCTATGTATTACAACAAACTGCTGTCAAAGATCATGTGTACTAAATTTATATAATAATTAATATTAAAATTAAAGTATATATATATATATATCTTATATACTATAGGAAATAATATTTTAACAGTATAATATCAAAGATATTTGATTCTCAGACACAGATACAGTTCCTGAACCCGAGCCAAAGGAAACATTAAATCTCGTGATCCCAGAAAAGGCATCTTCATTCAGCATTCATCCGGGGAGGCTGTGCATGGACCAGTGCTTCTATTGTGGAGGAAAATTTGGCCTATTTGATACACCATGTCATATAGCGCAGATGAAAAGCAGCGAACGACAAAGAAAGGTTTTAGATAGTGAGTAAACTGACTTATATATAACATATTATATTATATGTATATGTAAAATTTCGTAGCACGTCAAATTTCAGCAAACAAAACTCTGTTAAAGTTGGTATTGAGATTTAATTTTCATCATAACTATTGATGATTTCCTTATTCATGTAGACAGAAGTTTATCTTGATAGATTTTATAGTAATTTTGTAATTTTTTTTGTAAAATATCAATTAAATTAAACTCTTATTCTACAGATGAGGAGAAACTAACTATAGACAGTTGTCTGTGCGATGCGTGTTATCGCCACGTCGACAGACGTGCTAACTGTCCGTCCTATCGTAAACGACCAGTGGCTAAGCCCCCTGATGCACGAGCACCTACACCTCCCGCAGCGTAAGTATATAAACATATATAAGAAAACATTTATATATACATATATGTATATACTAGAAGACCCGGCGAACTTCGTATCGCCCTATAATCAAGAAATATCTGTTACGTTTTTTTTATATATATTTTTGGAGTTTACCTATTAAAGCCATAGATCTCCGTGTTTTAAAGTGCGACAGAATGATTGATATATTAGTTAGTTGTCAAATCTAATGTCAAAAAAAAGGCAACAATTACTAATAAATTAAAAATTAATTAGAAAAACATTGTCCAGCAGACAAAATCTAAACCATTCCCAGATCCCCTTGAACACACACAAAAAAATTCATCAAAATCGGTAAGTCGTTTGAGAGAAGTTCAGTGACATACACACTCACAGAAGAATTATATATGTATCATATAGTACGACTTTTTCCCATAGAGAGTTGATGTCAGGCAGGCGGCCGGTCGTAAAAACAATTAGCCGAAACTATTCACAACATGTAAGGCAGACCCTGGCTAAAACTGGGAAATTGCCAGGAAGAAGAAGATCATATAGTCAGATTTATAACCTCATCATTAGTTAATGAATTAGTGTTATCTTCAGTACATATTTTTATTACTAACTGTGACAAAGTCATAATATTCAAGGTCATAATATGTTAAGCTTTTGTTAAACCTGCAAGAACTTCTCAAATCAAGCTTGCTTAGTAAAATTCTACTTAACAAGTACAATACAACACCCAGCCATTAGCTATAGTATTAATAATAATCCTACTAATATTATAATTGCGAAAGTTTGTGAGTGTGTGTGTACGTTTGATACTTCTTCACGCTCTAACGTCTGAACCGATTTTGAAAAAATTTTGTATACAGGAAGCTGACGTCCAGGAATAACATATAGGCTAGTTTACATCTCAGAAATCCCGAAAATCCCGCGGGGCGCAACTAGTATAAAATAAATATTAATTGTACCAAAATAAATTTCAGTAACATTGAAAAGCCTTCAAGTCCTGTTGAAGAGGAGAGTGGGGAGGAAGTGTCAGGTCGACTGGCCACTTGTCATACTACTGGCTGCCTCGCGCCCGCTGATCACTCCATACGAAGAAAATGGCTGATTAAGATGAGATCTAGTGTTAATAAAATTGTAAGCATTAAACACTCAACACATCTACAGTTTTACACAACCCTATTCTACACATCTACATTTTTAACCAACCCTATTCTACACATATACATTTTTACACAACCCTATTCTACACATATACATTTTATACAGCCCTATTCTACACATCTACATTTTTAACCAACCCTATTCTACACATATACATTTTTAACCAGCCCTATTCTACACATCTACAGTTTTACACAACCCTATTCTACACATATACATTTTTAACCAGCCCTGTTCTACACATATACAGTTTTACACAACCCTATTCTACACATATACATTTTTATTTTTTACACAACCCTATTCAACACAATATCTACATTTTTGCACAACCTTATATAAGTAAATGTTAGATTAATCATAGAGCAATGATATTAGCATCCTTTGCACACAACAATATTTATACAACAATTTACTTCTTGATACCATAGTTATTAACCATTGTATATTAAAAAGGTTAAACTGAATGATTTGCTTCGATTTAATTAAGAATATATTATAGCTCATGAAAATACCTTCCAAATTGTTTGCTACAATCACTCTAACTAAATATATAAAGTCTTTTAAGATTATATGTGACTATACACAGTGAAAAATAGATTTAGATAACGTCGGGGATAGTACAAGTTCGCATAACTAACTGGAAGCAAATTATCAGAGGAAAGTTTAAGCTGAGGTACTTTCTATATTAACGACTTTTAAGGTAATTTTGTCACAATTAGTAATAAATTAAACACTTAATAATTATTGCTAATTTTGAAAAAATTACATTCAAAGTCGTTAATTTAGCGAATATGTCATTTTAAAACTTCTTCTGATAATCTGCTTCCAACGTAGATACGCGGAATTATCCAATAGTAGTTACGCGGATTTGCAGTAATTCCAAGAATATATGTGAGTTATATATTTAAATAACTAATAATATATGTATATCAGTTGCAGTTGGAGGTAGATTATCCTGGTCTTCATACAATCCCTTTGTGTTCTGAACACCATCGAGCCCTGGCACCGCTAATGGCATGCGCGCTTTGTACCAGGAGATTAACTAAACACCATGCATTACACTTCATACATCATGTAAGTATGCTCATATAGTATAAAATTATTTAGACTTGTAAGTAAAGTAAAAAAATAGCAATAAATATTATAAGTAGGCTCAAGAAGTAGTGATTATTGTGTTATGTTTTATTAATTTATTATTATTGTTTTTTAATTTAAATTTTGATTTACTACAATTATTATATGTATTTTGCAAGATGTGATAGCCTATAATTAAAAGGTCATTTAAGTTATTTTTGATAGTTTGTTGATGTAGTGAACATATTAATGTTTTCTTTTGTTGGCTATACAAATAAAATAAAATAAAGAATATGTTAATACAACCTCGCTGATTACCTAAAGCAGGCTTCTCAATAGAAAACCTCTGAAATGATATTAAAGTAAGTTATACTCGTGACTTTATTTGCAATGCAATCATTTACAGAGATATAAACAATATTTTGATAAAATAGATATGAGTTTGTTAAAGTAGCGCCATCTATAATCACGTGACTTATAAAAAACAACTTTCATGCCTCAACAAACTTTGATAAAATATAATCTATTTGTTGTACTGGGTCACTTGACGGGAAAGTTTCATCAAAATCTTTCCAGTAGTTTGATTTAAAGAAAGTCACATCCATAAAACCCTACTAACTTCGCATTTATAATGCTAGTAGTAATGAGTTCTAGGACTCGCGAGTATTCATTTAATTGAAACTAATATTTAGCTATTACTACAGCTTATTTTATTGTTTCTAAAACTACATACTTCCAATGTTTCGGTTGCTTTCCATATATTATTAGTAATTTAACTATATATAAATGTTTTTTCAGGGCTTCACGGATTTGAACCCGGTCCTATCATCGTTGAACATACCGGTTCAATTTACTGAACGCCCCGTGCTTTGTCAAGTGTGTCGATATTACTGTACGCTGCTCACACGACCGGGACACAACGACAAGCATCGCACCGCATATACTAGGAAGTAAGTATATATATATATATATATATATATAAATATATATATGATACTGTTACATATGTGGCATTAACTTGAAAAGAATTAGTGTACATGGACATTGTGGCATTGACTTAAATAGAATTAGTATACATAGACATTGTGGCATTAACTTGAATAGAATTAGTATACATGGACATTGTGGCATTGACTTGAATAGAATTTGTATACATGGACATTGTGGCATTGACTTAAATAGAATTAGTGTTCATGGGCATTGTGGCATTGACTTAAATAGAATTAGTGTTCATGGGCATTGTGGTATTGACTTCATAGTTTCATATAGAAGGTCAAAATATTTTATAAATGTTGTAAAAATTGACATTGAAAAAAAATGTTAAGTTGTGATTAAGGTGTAAGCAAAAACAAAATCTATGCATCTATGTATGTATATTATGTATTGAATGAATACTTTTCGTAGATTTAATACATTCGTTTTTGTTTTATTTTTTCTTTGTTACATGTTTGTAAGATTGAACTATATAATTTCGATACCTAAACTAGAAGGTTAAATATATTTCATGAATAGCTTGAAGACTTCTCGTCTTTATTTCACTCACACCATTAAATTAGACTTCAATTTAGTTATTATTTCGTTGAACTATTTATGTGTGGCTTTTATATACATTGATTAGACCTCACCTTATTTAATATTGGCTTGATGATAATATTATTTATTTCTCAATGTTCCAGGCTTCTCCAAATATACAATATTGAAATACCGCCGGAGCTATCACAGGATTCTGACGACACTAAAGTCCTAGAAGACTGCAACAACAGCGCGAACAAACAAAAGAAGAAAGCTCGAACCAAATCCAAACAAAGGAAATCAACGGAACCAGAAAAAACAGAAGTTAGAGAGAGTGAATCATCAGAGAGAACTACGGAGAGCTCTCCGGAGAAAGAGAAAGTTAAAGAAGACACAACAAATATAATACCAGAAGAAACTAAACAGAATCAAACAGAGACCAAAACACAAAGCACAACACAAGCTCAACCTATAGAGGAAGACATAGAAAGTCTGATATCATCCAATAAAATACCAGTTCCTGGAGCTAAACCTACCGAGAGCAATCCTCAAAGCGATGCCTCGGAAACTGATATGGTTTCCGACCAAGAAACACTCACATTACCCCTCGACAAACAAACGGAACTGCGATATTTATTGCAGAAACAGAACAACCCAGCACAATTCCAGCAGAAAATGAATCTGACGCAGAAACAGAAGAATATACTGAGGATCCACAACATGGGCATACAGAAACCTGGCCTACAACATCGAATCAATGATAAGAATAATAAAAGGGTCCAAAAGATAGGACAGATAGTGGCTCACAAAGAAAAAGTTGGCAAAAAAGATATAGAGAGTGATACGACGGAACAAGACAAAAATAAAGAAATGTTCCTACTCAAAAACATATCTTTGAACGACGAGTGCACTATAGAAACGATATCCAATAAGAAAGCTGCCGACATCACAACACTCAAAAACAAATGGCAGTTATCAGAAAGCTTCTCACAGGTTAAGAAGAATTTAAGTGAACTGTCCAAAAAGGCACCGGTTGATAAAGATAAGAAATCTGATTCAAAATACTCAAACCCGGTGAAAAGATTGGAAACGAATCCGTCGATATCAGTTCGGGAACTGTTCCCTGGGGAAGAAGAAATGAATCTTCAGTGTAACATCGAGTTTAATAACGTTAAAGGGGTCACGCCCGAAGGTTGGGAGAAATGCAACACTCTCATACAATACGACCTGGAAACTAAAAAGTTGTGGAACGAACTACAAAGACCGTACGGCAATCAATCAAGTTTCCTGCGACATTTGATCTTATTAGAGAAATACTTTAGGAGCGGCGATCTCGTATTATCTCACAACGCTTCCCCACATGCCGCTAATTATAGTTCGTCAGTGCAGAGCAGACTTCGCGCTTATGATAACACGCCGCCGGAAACTACAAGAAAAGAATCCGTTAGTTTACTGGAGTACCGCAAAAAACCATCCATGAATGGGAAAAGTCTGCTCAAATCCAATCAGAATTCTGAAGAAAATCCCAAAAAGTTTATGCCTCCACCAGGAAATCTGCCCAAATCTAAGCCCAAAAACGAAAAAAAGACGAAAGCTTTGCCGCCGGAACTAATAGCTATAAACACTCCCAACGCTCAAGGAAGAAAGTCCATACAGAACGTTCTACATAACATTCAACAGTTAGTTAAAGGCGTTTCCGCTTCCGATCCCACTGAGGTCGCAGCCTCTCCGCTCCCACCGAAAGAGAAGAAAGAAATGCCCGGCCTTAAATACGATCCGCCAAAGGAAAAGAAAGATAAACATGAAGCTAAGGAAAAGAAAGAATCCACTCCCAAGAAAAAGAGCAATAGTAAAGCTTGGCGCCCAACACTCATGCCTATAACACCAGTAAGAGTAACAATCTTTATGTATATAATTCTTCTGTGAGTGTGTATGTCACTGAATTTCTCTCAAACGACTGGACGGATTTTGATGAAATTTTTTGTGTGTGTTCAAGGGGATCTGGGAATGGTTTAGATTCACAATTTTGTCCGCTGGACAATGTTTTTTTAATTTATGAGTAGGCGATACGAAGTTCGCCGGGTCTTCTAGTTTGTATATAAACCACCTTAACCTTTGAATAGTTTTCCATAAAATCATAGATAGCTTCAAATATAATGCTTTTATTAATATCAACGATATATTTTCCAGGAAGATCTAACTCGTATAGCGAGCGAGCCGCGTCGTACAGCCATCGACGGGCACAGTCTACCGAGTTTAGTACAAGTGATCTCCGCCGGGCAAAGATATCACATAACCTTCGAGGATTACAACAAGATGTGTAAAATAAGACGTGACAGGCAACAGAGTTTAGAGGAAAAGGAGGCAAAAGCGAGGAAAACACCCGAAGATAAGACGGTTATAACTGAAATACAGACAAGTGCTTTACTTGGCAATGGAGGCACAGTCTTACAGAACATACCCACCGATAAAGACAAGATAAACCCGCCTGAAATACAAGTAGCGAATGCGGCTACTATACTCAAGAACGTGGGTCTCAGAAACATCACGATAGCTCCAATTACTCCCAAAACTGCCACAGTGACGTCACTCACGCAAACAACCTCTCTGACGTCACCAATATTAGTGACGACACCAATTAAATTACCTCAGCTTGGCCCGGCAGTGTCTATAACAAGCGAAATGGTCACACCCATTATGCCGAAAATACCCAAATCATTGACCGTCATACCACAAACGGTAACAAATACAGTTGTACCAAACACACAAGGAGATTTAAAACCATAGCGAAACGTTATACTACTTGTGTTAAAACCACAGTGATCTTAACGGACTATGTGACATATCTATATGGACTAAAAAATTAATAAATCCTATTTTCATATTTAGTTATAGTGCGTCGAGCGCAGCAATATATAAGTGAGACGAATTGATAGCCTTATGTACATAGTAGAGTAAGACTGCCGATATAATGTGGACTTTAGGGAAGTGTTCGTGCAAATGATTTGGAAATTCATACATATTTATTATTTACACACACACACATACATCAAAGTTATCACAAGAATTAGAGAAATCAATCATCAAAATTGTCTAGTCTATTAGATGATGCATTTATAATTTATTCATTGTCAAAGTTCCTATCATTTGCATGGATTGTTGTTAGTGAAGTGGTAACTGTTGTAAATAATGTTTATCAGAACCAAAATTCCTGTTACAATCTGGAGACAATGTTTAATGTTAAGTGTATAGATAATTATACTTTGGATATCGTTGAAGCATATTTTTCCATGTAATATTATATAGGTACTAACACAGGATCGTGCACACCTACCGAAAAATATACAACAGAAAGACAATATACATCAAAATTGTGATAAAAAAGTGAATAATGACCTATTCTGGTTCGTCATATGTTTTATTTATCAGAACAAAATGTATTATAATATATAAGTGTATTCCAAATTACAGTAAAGTGATCATCGTCACAATTGTACATAGACTAGTTGAAGCTCATATTGTGGACTTGTATGTATTGTTGATATATCAATGTATTTTATTATTATTTGGATTAGATTAATGAAACACGTTACTGTTAGATGCGTGTTAAGGCGACGCTTCACGGACAGTTAAACTAGCGAGCATTTCATATTTAAGCAATGACGAGGCCTTCCTAAACAATGATAATAAACAGATTATAAATAAAAAAAAATGATAATAAAAAAGTTGTACTAAACGAAAATCTCGTTCGGGACAGGATGTGTAAATAAAACAATAGTGTGTATGCTATGATCTATTTTTGTATGAAACTTGTATATAAGACGCGATACTCCGACGTAGAGAAATGATTTTAAATCACACTTGTATATAGATGTAAAGAAAGTATATAAAAGACTCGATGTTCGTTCAGTTTAGTTTTTGTTGTACATCTATATTATAAGTAAGATTGTACCAGTTGATTGGTAGCTACAGTATGTGTCTCGTTGCTTTAATTTGGTTCTGTTTGTATGGACGTCGACGTGTCCGTGTGTCCAATATGGTTCTGTTTATTAAACACGACGTGTCTGTGTGTCCAATGACTCGTCGGAAGCTCTCGCCTTAATATGCGATAATTTGTTATGATACTATTATAATATTTGGAAGTTCTACAGTACGTTATCTGTAAGCCCGTTCGGATGCTCACGTTATGAACAAATTCCTTTATATTCTGGATGTTTTGTTTCTTCCAAAGATAGTGTGTTAGTTTTTACATTATTATTATATATTTTTTTTAGTTCATACGTCCGGCGATAGATGTCGCCACTTGTCAGATATCAATTTGTCTAATAAACATATCCTTATGTCCTGAAATGTGTTTGATTTTTAATTACATTTATTATTTATTTATTTATCATACAGTGAATTTTGGGTTGTTAAATAACAGCTTATATTAATACATACAATAATATAACGTTTTTAAAGTTACATAAAAATATATAATTTAATCTGAAGGAAACAGTAGATAGCTTTTAGAACATTTATATAATAACTATTATTATGTTTTATGAACTAGTCGACTCTCCTGGCGCTCTTCGCGACACCTTTGGTTCGTTTCCATTTCATTCTTCTGTTTTGAAACCACACCTTTACCTGTAAATATAATACTTACATATACCGAGATACATACAACATAATAACTATATAAATAATTAGAATCATTATTATGGTCAAGTTCTCTAAGAGATGTTACTAAATATATTGTAACAAAAATAAAGAGGAGCTGTATTGACTAAGTGGTGTGTTGGCGGCAGGCGAGGTGTGGAGATATTATTTAAAGAGCATTTTTAGATGTAATTATTCATTAATTTGTGATAATTGGAAATATAAAAGTGATTTACCAAGAAGTCGTAATGTTTTAATTAGATTCTTTAAAAAATCAGTTGTGTTTCGTAATAATTAAAGTACTTAATAAAATAGTTTGTTTTCTACTAAATCAACTTTCAACAATGTAGCTATAGATATTTATCTATAGAATCGTGATGTTTTGATTAATTTTCAAGTATGGTCTCCTTTTATATAATCTATACTTATAATAAATCTGTAGAGAGGTCAATTCTGTACATAAAATATGTTTAAAAAATAACTATCAGGGGGTGGTTAGGGATCGCTAAAGATGCCAAAAATGCTATCAGTAAAATTTTTGTCTGACTGTCTGTCTGTATATTCGTTATATGTAGAAACAAAAACTACTCGACGGATTTTACGAAATTTTGCATAATTATTCTTCATACTCTTGGGCGGGTTATAATATGTAATACTATTGATTATCTTATTACATAAGTACAACAATGAATGTCAATTTTTTGATACACAACCTGTCTCTCAGTGAGGTGTAAGGCGACCGCGATCTCGTATCTTCTAAGTCGTGTGAGGTAGTTGGCTCGTTCAAACTCAGCCTCTAGACTCTTGATCTGTGTCTTTGTGAACGCCGTCCTCTCTTTACGAGCCGCAGGCAGTCTCAATTCTGGAAGTACATAAATTAAATTTTAGAAATAATATTGATGTATCTAACACGGTAAAGTATATTTAAAACTGTAATTTTAGTTGTTCCTGTGAATGATTTGTTTAAGTTATAATAAAACTATACTGCTGGAAATATAATATAATCTGCTGGGAATCACAGAGAAGACCTATTTTTATTTGTAGTTTCTAAATTAAATGACATAAAAATAATGTGTGTGAATGTGATAATTGATGAAATTTTAAGAATGAACTTTAAATTCTATTATCTTATTTGTCAATTACTGTTTACTTAATAGTCTTCGACAGCGTCACCGAGAAGCATAGGTGCAGCGAGTGCGATTTATCCTTGAAATTAAAGCTTGGGGGGAGGATTACACTAAACAAAGGATGCCTTTAACTTTTGTAAGACTCCGGAACTCGGCGTTTTATGAGGGAGACCTCAGTCCTCAATCCTCATCATCGCAATCGAAGACTATGTTTTTGTAGTCAAGGTGTGTTGCGGGGTCATCTATGTTTGTATTGACTCTGTCAGGGTCTGATATCAAGCTTTTAGGACGAATCTGGTCTAGCGGGAATAGTAATCGAAAGAGCATACATACCACACTTTCAATTTCGGTCTTTAATTTTGAAAACACAGTATTCAAAGTGCGAAACATACCAATCAACATCTGACAAAAACTTTTACGTAAATTGTAGTCACTTTCATTTTTTTTATTGCATATTGCATCTCTTTTTTATGGGGTGGAATTTCAAATCACGTTTTAAAATTCACTCTACGGTTAATTTGGTGACGTTTAAAACCGCCGTTCGTTTATGGAGTGACGAAGATCATTGGATGTGGATTGCCAATTCGTTTTTTGTTTCTTTCTTCCTTGAAGTTCTGCTTGGGCCGGACGCGGTTGATTTATAGCAGACCCAGGAGCTCAAAAAATGATAATCCATTTACGAATCAAATGTTCGTTTGGACCATCTTATAAACGTCTGATATTGTAGTAAGAAAAAAAAAAATACTACATCTGAGTCACAGTCACCTACGATTTACCATTTTTCAAAAAAGCCTCGCACGAACGACGTAGCTGCTGCTCTCTTCTCTGCCCGAGCTTACTTGCAAGGTTTTTTTTAAATATTCAAATTTAAAATCTTAACTTTGCTGTGAGACATCTCATATAGTAATCGGAATATAATCTCAAGAAATTGAAAACAAACCATAATATCGAGGAAAATAAAGTAATTTAAGGATTTTATTATATGTTAGTGCCACTTCCGAGTCAAATATATTCCATAAAAATAATCTCAAGGACGATCTGCTAATCTCATGTTGTATGCAGAAAATGTTTGTACTTATGGTGTGTGCAAAAACTATGCATGTGTTGTGTTCGAGGGGAAATGCTTCCTTAACCCTACTCGTTTAAAACGTTATACATCGTTCAAATATTTTTTTCGTTATGTTGTTATTATTGTCTTTCTAAGCTCAAGTGAATATAATTTAATTAGCTAATTAGTGAATATATTAACGAATTATGGAAGATTATACATAGATGTGAGCTCTGAACTGAACTCTGTATGTGTGTTTAACGAAATTAATAACGAGTATATTTTTAATAGTTTTGTTTGATGACGAAATTTAAATAATTACAAAGGGAAGTTGTATGACCAGTTAAGATTTAAGAAAAAAAAATACTTGATGTAATAAAAATTATTTTAGCTCTCTGGTTGTTTTCACACAAATAAGTTATTTTGTTTTCCTAGTTAATAATTTTACCTAGTAAAAGTGTTTGGATCTTCACTGGATATTCACGTATAAAACGTATAACGTATCATTAAAACGAAAAAGGGCAATTGAACATTGAAAAGCATGACCTTGTACTTTCAAAAGTTCGTTAAGTCATCCGTTTAAAGTACTGTAGGCAAAGTCAACCACAGTTTTCGTAAATCAAGCCCGTTTATTTCAATTACTTGTAAGTTTATTAAAATATATTAACAGGATCATTTGTAAACATGCTTTATGTCTACAAGAATGATTGTGACTTGAACGGCAAATGAAATTAATGGTCACTGGTTACCCTCTAGCGTAGTTACACATAATTGAGCAAGTACCCTGATTTTTTAATTAATAAAATCCACCTAAAATCATTCAAGGAATAGGTTAATAAAAGAAAACCAATTTGTTCGTCTTCAGTGACCATTTTTTCACTTCACGAAATGAAAGAGACATGCAAATTATAATTGAGAGTGGAACTGCCTTCTTCCAAACACAATCTTAGATTTGGATACAAGGTCTAAATGAGTGAATATACAACGTTCATACAAGGCTGTTCATAGATTAAATACATGATACTTGTGTTAGAATGATACCACCCGGGATGTACCAAAAATGCCTTTTACAGCTTCTCATCAAAAGTTAGTTTGACCACTACGAGAATATAACTAGGTACATATAGTATTTAGTAAGATCTAAAACAAATACAAGTTAAATATTGGTTTAGTCCCATTCAATAGAATGTGAATTAATATACCTAGTTATATTAAGAAATATTTTTGAGCTCTTTACATCTATTGAAATTCCACATTCACATACATTACATAATAAAGAGTGATAGAAACTTTATTTAAATTTTTCAACCTTCATCTATGTTTTATATAAGTATAGTTTCAGAATATATTTCATTGAAGGAATGTGTATTGTGCCTAAAAGTCTTCTCAGTACGATTTGTCCATACTCAAATGCTATTAATTACCTATACTAACTATTCATCATAGATTCGAACTTAGAAAGTATAAGTATACATGAAACTAACTTAAAAACCTCTGCCTGTTAATTTTCCATTTGTGTACTATAAAAGCCGTATTACATTCACGTGTGCTGGCGCCGGCGCCAGCTTATTTACGAGATAGTAGTTCTACAGGTGTGTTTTATAGCTTGCTTACTTGAGTTATACACACAGTCACATTATACACAATGGTCAGTTAAAATACTGACGAAATCATGCGTCACTTCTTCAATACATATTATAAAACAAAGTCCCCTGTCTGTGTGTCTGTTCGCAATAAACTGAAAAAGTACTGCACCGATTATCAAGTCTTCGCCTTTCGTTATTTGTAAAGCTTTTGGCTAGATTCATAATGACCACAGAATTTAAAACACTTTAATATAGCCACTAACTTGAGTAAGAACGTCGATGAATTCTAATAGTGATAGAAGATTAACTTAAACAGTGATTAAGAGGTGTTTCTAAAAGAAAATTATATTCGATAAGAAAAAAAAAATAGGAATTTAACGAAAGCAAAAAGATGTATTTCATACCGTAAAAACGATTATTTAGTGTTATGGCTGAAACACTGAAACTTAATCGAATTGAAAATTAATAATAATTAATATGCAGGGTTTAATAATAAAAAGAATAAATATTCTAATATAAAGACATAGTAAACTTCCTTTCCATTTAATTAATGTAAATGTATAACAAGTAATTTGAACATATTTTTTTTATCATTATTTTAATTTTTAAGGTTATTTGACAATACTTAATATTTACGATTCAAAAATATATTTTAATAAAGTATTTTTTAAAAAGAACATAAATAAATATCAAAGAGAACTTAGCAAGGTTAAAAGAAATTCTAACTTGTAATGTCAAAAGAAGTTAAAGTTCATTGAAATAGTTGAAGGAATCTTCGTTTCCGAGAATTGAAATCATCGGATTGATATTTATTAATTATTATACTCGGGTACCTTCTTCCTGAAGACTAGTTGTAGCGCCCGGATCCTCCTCCTCTTCTTTAACCATCTGTTCTCCCCACCAGTTCTGCCAATCAAACTCCTGAACTCCAAACTGTTGGTATCCTTGCATCTGATCAATCCTCTCGCCGCCACACTCATACAGCATTTGTAAATAATTCGGCAACTCTGAATTCTGTGGTACTTCTTGGCGGAACGTATCGAAATTATTTAATTCTTTAAAATCATTTTGCATTAAGAAATTCGTGTTTATAAACTCCATAATGTTCTGAGCTTTTTTATGAGGATGCACTGTCTTGAACTAAGTTTTATGAATCTTTATTAAAGTACTAGATTTGTCCACTGTAATATTATAAGTATTAACCACTGGGCACGTCTTTCTTCCATGAATTTCATGAGTCGTTTCATGAGCGCGCGCGCCTGAAGGCGGGTCCTGGGCGGAGTCTGGTGCGATCATTATGTTATTTTTATGGTGTTTGTATGTCACTTACACTTCATTATTGATGACGTAGCATTATTTTGTTTATTCTTAATAAAATAGGTGGTCTTGTAATGTTTTTTGTGAACATAATCAGGCACAGGTCTATACAGTACATTATAGTTTTTACATATTATTTTAATAACATCACTACATAATGTTTGTTAAAGAATGAAAGTAAGAAAATTTAATTCTAAAATTTTAAATCAATTTAACATTAAATTATATTTTAATACTATTTGTTTTATTTAAAAAACAACAGAAACAAAGTGTAAGTAGCCATGATTTAAATCGTGGAAAGTTTTTTTTATTTACTTTTAGTATAATAAAGTTTGCACTAAATACTTTACACTCATTTCAAATTCAGAGAGTCTTTTTTTAACTGCAGAGAAGTAAGTATATGTTTAATATACTTTCAAATTTACTATGTGTTATCTTTGTTTTTTTGTATAATTAACACAACATAGGGGTTTTTATTTATACCAATTTTTTTTATAATTTTCTACATACAGGGTGACTGGTGAATTACTATCAATATTTAAGGAGAATACTCGGTACATGATTCTCATTCGAATTATGTAAAAAAAAAATAGGGACTTAATTTTTGACCAAATTTCCGTATAAATAAATAAAGCGTGGACACGTTTCAAGTGTTCCAAGTGTGGACGCGTGCGGCGGCGTGCTGATACAACACTACGCCGCCACACGCGTGTGTGTGTGTGTGTGTATACCTAATCTGTAGGGTGTTCACACGATGCGTAATTAATTACATAACTTTTGGTTAACTTTACTTAGAAGTTTATTAATATTTATGTTATATTAATTTTTATTTTGTCATATATGATCGTCAAATATCACGTCCTCAAGTATCGATAGTAATTCACCAGTCACCCTGTATAAACAATAAAAGGTAAACTTTTTAGAGTTAATTTATTTCAAACGAATATTAAGTACTATGAGATATTTTTTTTTAAGGAATCGTAAGAAAAAATATATTATTATTAAAAATTTATTGAAATTCTTATTTACGACAAGCTTAATATTAAAGACGCATTTTCACATCCTTACTTTATTTTACTGTCTTAATACACACACATTATTAATAGGTCTTCATTGGTTGGTAATGTTAAATTTAAATCGAAAATGTAATTTGAGGAAACTTTAATTGTTTAAGGAGGAACTAATTAGAAACAATACAACGCTTCTGATTCATGTGAGACAGGGACACATGTTTATTGAGTGAGGGATGCTGTCAGCGAATCCCATGAGATTACACAACCCCTGGCTTCACACGCCGTCACCAAAACCATTATAACATGAAACACTAATATATTGACATTTATATGACTTCAAAACAAAATAGAGTTTAAGTGAACCTTCCATTTTCGGATTACTTTTATTTTATTATTTTAAAAATCTATATATTTCGGTTACTTTTCAGCAACCGTGATCACGGGCAAACGAGATGTGAATGTACATATAATAATAATCAAAATAGCATTTGTAAAACTTAAAATTCTAATATTTGAGATGAGACCTTTATGTTAAAGTAATCTTAAATGTAAATACTTTTACTTAAAACGAGAGTAATATCTATAGCCTTTATTTATTTAAGTACATGTATATTATACAGGGTGACTGGTGAATTACTATCAATATTTAAGGAGCATACTCGGTACATGATTCTCATTCGAATTATGTAAAAAAAATAGGTACTTAATTTTTGACCAAATTTCCGTATAAATAAATAAAGTGTGTACACGTTCCAAGTGTTCCAAGTGTGAACGCGTGCGGCGGCGTGCTGATACAACAACACGCCGCCGCGCGCGTATGTGTGTGTGTACCTAATACCTAATCTGTAGGGTGTTCATACGATGCGTAATTAATTACACAACTTTTGGTTAACTTTACTTAGAAGTTTATTAATATTTATGTTATATTAATTTTTATTTTGTCATATATGATCGTCAAATATCACGTCCTCAAATATTGATAGTAATTCACCAGTCACCCTGTATAAGTACTAGCTTTCCGCCCGCAGCTTCGCCCGCGTGGAGTTCGGTTATATCGGGTTTCCAAGAGAACCTTTCAAAAGTCTGGGATAAAAACTATGCTATGTTCTTTCTCAAGGTCAACTCTATCTCTGTACCAAATTTCATTAAAATCAGTTCAGTGGTTTAGGCGTGAAAGCGTAACAGACAGACAGACAGACAGAGTTACTTTCGCATTTATAATATTAGTAGGGATTTTATTTGAAGCCAAATAACATATTCTTATTTCTATTATATACAATGACATAGTTATTAATGCTAGTATCTCCTGTTAGTTTGTAACGTAAGACAGGAAACGTTAATGAGTCATATAACCAGGCGGCGAAACTGAAAAAGATTGCGATTTATAGACTATTGGAACGATACTTCCTTTACTCATATAAACAGGTCATATAAAGGAATCCCGTTAATATATTATAACATGAAGATGAATAAGTGAAAACCATTGCTTTTAAAAATTTTAATAATCTTTAAAAAAAAATGTTCTATGTTACTAATGTCATACAATTCTAGGTTACATTATTTATTTGACAAATATGTCGACATCTAACGTGAAAGGAATCCGATTTTTCTTTTCTCAAGTTCGAGTGAGTGCCCTTTGTTTTGTCAGCTGTGTCCGATGATCAGTATATGAAGATTTTTTAATATTTTTCATTATAATCACATCCAAGTGATGACGTTAGGTTTACTCACCTTATATTGTTTTTGGATATATGTATAAGTATATTATAATAACAATTCATTGCTAGCTAGCAAGCTTACGTGCTTGTCGAAGTTTTATTAAGCTTCATATAAAATATTACCTTAATTTTTAGTATTAGATTAAAATTATAAGAATAATTAAGTATTAAATGAATAAAAACAGACTTAATATCACGTAACAAGAATATTAATAGAGCGTCTGAAATATTTTTAACATGTTATTAATGCAGTGTCCTATCGTAAATTATTCGACGGCTGCGTTTCTCATCAAAACCCGAAATATGAGAGTTCGAGTGGGACACTGTTATAAAATATAGAACATATACATATATAAGACATAAAATATATAATGTGATATACAGATTACTATGTTTGACATCTTATTAAATTTCAGTCATAGGATACCTAAATACATACGTTTCCATAATGAAAGCGTAAATTTTATTTAGTTATTAATGTAAAAATAAATAGGTAAAAAAGCTAGTGGCTAGTTACCTATATTTTAATATTTGATTAATCATATCCGAATCTACATAATTTAGACATTATGTTTTGGTTTGTTTATAAATTTTAATAATTCGTATTCAAAATATGTATATGTTTGCAGAGTTTTAACTAATTATGAAATTTTTTTTTGTCCTCTTTTAAGTATTAAAACCAAAAGTTAGTTTGTTACGTTCTTAACACTGAATTGTTTCATGAAAATTAAAATGAAATATTATAGATCTATAGACAGAGTCAGAGTTAAAACTTATACTTTACTTATAAATAAAGGTGATATGATTGATACACATGTTTAGTTCATAATTTATTTCGTATCATATTATCTGAGATCAATATAATAAATAAGCCGCTGTGTTTTGCCGCTAAAGAATTTATAACATTTAAACTATCAACGCTTAACCACTTATATAGAATTTAAAAATCTTTTTTGTTCTTTAAAGATTTTCAAACAAGATTTCACGAGTTGTTTACTTCTTAGTTCTTATATGTTTCTAATATTACAAATTCTTCGAGCAACACCAAGCTGGGAAGCCTTATTTTAAGTACACTTCGGCAAAATACTCGACGATGCTAAAATATTCATTTTTTTTTATCATTACACACTACATTGTCATATTTTAAGAGATGCCTTAAATTTTTTAGCAAACAGTTAGCGAAATAGCAACTATTTTGTTAGATTATAAGCACCTCTTAGGTTTCACAACCTTATTAAACTACGATTCAACAACTAAGATTTTAGATGTTAAGACCAAACAGTTGTCAGTACAGAATTGTGAAACCAAATTTCTTAATAACACGACATACAGCACACTTTTTTTATAATTAAATTAACATCAATGACACATAATATTTATCTTTGATTTGCTTAGTCTATGATAAATAAGCATTAAAAAAAAGTGGAATTAATATAGATTATAGATTTTTAAAAATACAATCGAATGTAAAGAAATAATTGTAAAATTAATAATTACGTATATTAATGTTGTGAATAAAAATGATTTACAGAAAATGATATTTGAAAAATAATGTTTAATAGATCATCCAAGATGTATGGATATATTTCAATAGTAGTTATTTGTTGTTTTTTTTTTTAAACTATTTGTAACAATGCTCAATTTATTCAGCCGATGTCATTATCATGACTGTAGAGAGAGTATTCGTACGAGGGTCGACGTGACGTAGATGAAGACGTTCCGTGCTGAGGACGTGCGCTACCGAGGTCGGTCGTCGGGAGACTGCGCCTTACTGAGCTCGGACAGGGAGCTTGCGCGCTTCATGCTGATACCAAACGATGTTAAACTATTAATGACATCTGTCAGCTGTCACTTGTGACGTTTGACACATTACTTTTTTTTTTAACAAACAAATACACGTACGTGCACATGGCAGCGGTGATATTAAATAAAAATGTGCATTGTGAGTTCGACGTAAGAAGCATCAAATAATAATATAATAAACGGGGGTCACCTAGTAGTTCTACGCCGTTTACGCTACGCTGGTACGATCTAAAACAAACCTCTCCGGGTCGGTGTAGTCTACGTCAGGCGGCAGGTTTGCCGAGTGGCGGCCAGCTAGCCGATGGAAAAGTTTCGCCGACGAACGCCTCAAAGACTCGCGAAGTTTCGAGAAACTGGCACTCCGCGACACCTCGGCCGAACCCTGCCCCGTGTTATGCAATTTATACTCCATTTTGAATACATATTAAATGAGCTCGTACAATAGTGAGTAATATTGGCTGTAGAAGACAATACCTTTGCCTTTACAAATTTTTCTGTCAAAACCGTTTGACAATTTACAAATCTGCCAAACCATCAATTTTCGCGGTAAAATTAAAATGAATATTCCTCTCTAAAATGTTTATGCGTAATGATTAAGTAATGTAGATTCTAATGGCTGTGTTTTATTTTATTTGATGTATGAACCGGTTAACATTGATATGTATGAAATGCTACATTCATCTACATTTCTAACAGCGAAAGCCGTCATATATTTCATCTGTATGCGTTTTCATGCTTGTGCCAGTATATTTTGTTACAATTCCTCCTCGTGGGCTATAAATTGCATAACACTGTAGACTCACCTTCTTAACTTAATAAATACAACAAAAAAATAAATAAAACAAAAAAACAAATGATACATAAATATTTATTAACAATTTAAAATTATCATTCGATAACCCGACAGACATCGAACACATTCAGCATCGGAGATTCATTGACATAATAAAACAATAAAAATGATTTTGTGTATTATCTGTATAATTAAAACGTATATTAAAATTCACATTATCGAGCACCTCGCGAGGATAAAAACAAATCAAAATTATAATAATAATAATAAAAGAAAACATACTTAAATACTTTACTCGTAAAGCTAAAACCGAAACATACGCTACAATGGAATGAAATCATGCATTAAAACATTTTTTAATATATAAAATAAAATTTATACATCCATGCATTATACATTTATTTAAAAGAAAACTACCATCAGCAAAAAAAATATTTAAAATAAATTAAGTTACAAATCGTTGTATAAGAAGCGGTTATAGAGACTTAAATGCAAAACATAATTTGCTATTCATATTCAATATAAATGCTCCGAGCGTTAATTAAATATAAACTCGGAATTACTGTCATGATTTTAAAATAACTTACACTAATATATTTATATATATGTAATTTTGGGACGGTACATGTTTTATCACATGTTGTATATAAATGATATTTAATATTCTTATTCTATAGAACATGCTAATAAATACTAGACTACGCCCGCCTAGGCTCAAGCGGGTTGTGATAATAACAATATAAAAAGCATTACAAAAAACATTTATATAGGCGGGCGATAATTTGAGTGTGTGACGGATTCACGTGAAGCGAGTGAGTGCTTATAACTATAACTATATATATGTGTGTATGCTATTGGTGAGGCGCGCTCCCCGTATTAATGCCTAGAGCATTAAACAGTTTCGACTTAAGATTCATGCGCGGCTCACTCGCTTGGTTCGTCGCCTATAAAAAAAGTGCGAAATAATTAAAACAAAAATCAAAGCAAACTTACTACGAGTTAAAACGCCACACGTACAGTTTTAAAGTTATTAACGCTTAACTGTAAGTGTTCCGTTTTAAACTCAAGGTCACAGTATACACGTTGCGACGCTGCCACACACAGACACAAAGCTACATTTCTATACATATATATTTTAGTGTATTTAAATGACCGCGTGAGACGAAGACAAAAGCAGAACACAGACACGAGGAAAATGGAGGAGGGAGGAGGGAAAAGAGGAAAAAGGGGGAATGAGTCGAGATAATAAAATAATACAAGTAAATGTATGTATGAATAGTATCCTTAGTACAAGTTCTCATCGATACTACACACGCCGCGTCTGCCGTTTCTCACTCATTAAACCGCGTAAATACTATACTACAGAGTATAGTGTGAGGTTTATGAATGAGAAACTTTTAACGCTCCGTATGTAGTGTGACGAGGTAATGAAGGAAAAAAGTTCTCATATATGTATGTATGCACGTATGTATAGATATATGTAGAAGAAATAATTAATTCCACTCCTTAATCCTGATATATTTTATATTAGAAAAAATTTTGCTAGTCCAACGTATACATAGTCAATAGAATTAATTAATCAAATCGTGCTCCATAAATGATGAGTAATGATTATATACAGAGCTAGTATGAAGAAATAATCTGATCCATTGACAGGCAAATGAACGTAGTTATAATGTTTGTATGGAGGGTGCTGGGTCAAAGGTAAGGGTCAAAGGTCACAGGTAAAAGGTCAATGTGGTAGGAGGTGTCTCTAACCTCATCGGTGTCCCTCTCCGCCTCGCGCCGCCCGCTCCTCGCGCGCGACTGTTTCACGATGTCCAAAGCCTAAAATTTACCTTTCACTCTTAAAAAAATTCATATATATCAAATTCAACGCCAATAGTCGCCGGACTTGAGTGAATCACAGATCAATTATCAATATAACATGATATCCAATACAATTTAATTAATATTAATGGTCAAACTTACATGAGGTGGACCGTGCTAGGCAGCGTGCAAAGATATAAACAAAGTTAATAACATGTTATAGTGCGTATAAGCTGAGCTTTGCATTTGTGTGAGTGTACACGGATAGTGTAGGTGTGATGTCAAATTATTGAATGCCACGTTCTTTTCTAGTTTTGAACCGGTTTATTCTGCTTTTACTCCGCCCCGCACCTTCCTCACTTCACCTTTGTACTGGTAGCAACTTCAAATATTGAAAACGCAATGTCAAGTGAAGAAGAATTTGTATAGTTTTTTCAAAATTTTTATAAATTAATTTTTTTTTCCCATAATATTTCCATCTGAACTTTTACAAGTTTTGCTTATTTTATAGCATTTATATTTGTATCTATTTAAAATATAATAGAATTAAATTCTAAGTTTCTTGTCTGACTCTACTTTTACTTTCACTCACACAGATGCAAAGCTCAGCTTAAGTCTAACGGACTATACTAGCTGGTCGTGTGACGTCACACTAGCCCCCTCCCCCCTTCCTCACCTCCTTCCTGGTCCTCAGCGCGCAGTCCTCCAGCGTCTCCGCGGCCTCATACTTGCCCTGTCTCCTGTACAAGGCGCCCAGATTCTTGAGCGTGGTGGTTACGGTTGGCGAGTCGACCTTACAACATAATATGAATCATTAATATATCAATGGGTCCTATATGTATATGGGACAATTTTCAGTTTTTTACTTTAAACACTTCATAATACTATACATATACTACAACATTCATTTAAAAAAATGTGTATTTGTTGCTAAAAAAATTTAGTTTTTAGTGCAATAAAAAAGGATAAGTAACACACTTTTAACGTATAAGGGATTATGTAATGTATATTTTAAAAAATATATATATTTAAAAAACTAGTAGGTCTACAAAAAAGTTTATCAATCTTAAATGACGTACATGTATGTCATAGTTGCTATGCAAAGTTTCAAAAGCATCAGTTTTCACATGTACAAGATACATTGAAATCAAACTTAAAATGACTCTACTGAAAAATTGTCATTTTGCACATTGGCCCTTATACATAGGAGCCATCGATATAGTTCATATTGACCCGAGTGTTTGTGTGTGTGTCATATTATCATGTATTACCTTAGCCGCTTTATGCCAGCCTCCATATTCGCCGTAGGGCGCATTTTCCTTTTGCAGATGTTTATTTTCCTCCCTCTCCTCAGCGACTTGCCAAATCGGTTTATTGTCACCTGGGAACATATATTATAATGTATATAATGCTATCATATGATATACACATATATGTGACACAAGTCGGGAAGGTGTGACACTGAGGCAGAAATATTTACTTTATGTATATAATTAATTATTTATTTATATCTAATATATATTCCAACTACCTTTCCTACCTGTGCCACACTGTATAATCCAAACTTGTGTCACTCACCTAGCACATGGCAGACTTCATCGTTATAAATTTAACCATCACACCAATAGTTTGTATCGTTTAACTAAACACGGAGAGTTGATAGTTAGTAATTCGTACTAAGGTAATAAACGACTGAAATTACTCCGTATATAGTCTAACGATACAAACTTGTACTGGTACATCTCAATAAAATACTGATAATTTAAATTTTCATGTATTTAATGGAACACGATACATTAATTAATTCACATTATTATTCCAGCGATCATGTAAACATAAATGCAGGTATGCGTATTGAATGTATCAAAACAACAATATATTTGGCAAGAAAATTCACAATCAGACTTAATACCTTTATAACTAAAGGTATGAGTGATCGATCTGAACAATCAAACTTGATTAAACGAAATTGAATTTCATTTACAAGTTTATTATAAAATATGGAAGCCTCTAAGTATACAGGAACACTATTTTACATTTTTGGCACAACACATAAGAAAAAAGCAATTAATAATAATAATTATAACATGTATAAAATAATATAATCTATATTCTACATACATTCGAGTCTCAACCAAAGAGATCTTATAAGGAACATAAACAAAGCGTCCACTAAAATGTACTAAAAAAATATAATTGCATGCTACTATCAAACTTATACAAAACAATATTATAACATTAGATATACGTCTTAGGGTCTGTAGGTGTTATTTGTGCTTTTGCCTTATACCCTCACCCAGTACTAGATAAATGACAAGAGCTTTCATAATAAAATATACCAATATAAATTAAATAACATTTTGGATACATCTGTATTAATATCTCCATAATTATTATAATCACATGTACTTATATATTTGTCATTCATCTACACAACAAGGAATGTAGTTTTCAGTGTACATTGCACATCTTCTATTAGTAGGGAACATACTGCTAATGTTATTTTTTTGGCTTTTTTAATGAAGCTATATACTCTGAAATGGTAAACAACATAAAACATATTTAAAATAAATAAGAAAATTAAATAATAATGATTAAAAATATTAAAACTGCGGAATAAATCATAAATAAAACAAATAATTAATCTATGTATTTACATGTATATGTATACAGAGGCGTGCATTCTATATATTAAAATAAATACTGTATGTACCAATCATATAATTGCTAAACCTATATAATTAAATTCTTATATACTTTAAGTCACACATCACTCACTACGAATATTCACAGGGACTTATAATTTTATTCAATTTATAATTTGATATACATTTGTGAAAACGCCACCTACCGGAAATAAACTAAAACAATATCGACGGGCAATACAATATCTACTAGCGCCGCTTTCCAGGCTATAATCAGTTTATTCTTCATACAAATAAGTCCGTAAATATTTGTATGTTTATGTGTAAATGAATATTTGTACGTGTACGTGTAAAATTATTCAAAAATATGTTTGAAGGGTACCCGAAAGGCGCAATCCGATATATTCAAGAAGTCATTGATTGATTATTAATCAACTATATACTTATATCGGTCAGTATACGCTTTAAACTTTCTCTTGCTTTTTTTAATTACTATATTAATTAGTGATTTAATTAACGAAAGGTATTATATTTGTGAATTCTGTATTAGTGATGTGTATTTAATTAATTGTATATAATCACTCTATAAATCTTTATCCCTGTATGCACGCCTCTGTATGTATGTAAGTAATGTATGTATGTCTATCTTACCGTCAATAGTTCCAAACTCCCTCTCGTGTGCGCGTGTCAATACCTGCTTGTATAACGTTTCAGCTTCCTTGTATTTGCCCTGGAATTATAAATATGTCATATAAATACATAGCACATATTAAAACTGTAAATAATTGGAATTAAATTTGCTTATTAAATAAATAATGCTTCAAATATAGTAAATCACTGGTTTATAACCTCGATTTCGTCCGCTAGTAATTCGCAATTGGGTTGAACAAGAAATAAAATATAATTGATAACCAAATATACAGGCAGAACCATCTATATCTATGAATTCTTACGAAACACGTTTTTCAGGGAGTATTCCTTAGAAAACAAAACAGACTTAAAAATTAATTACAACTTATATATCATTCTGATGGACCTAAATGGATGGAGAATTTCATCAAAATTTGTTCAGTATAATTTAGTCATAGTTTCTTGTTTATAATACAAGTATGCTATATAGTTACCTGTTTCAGATAGCACGAGGCGAGGTTGTTCTTAGTCTTGGCTACGTTGGGATCATCCGGACCTAATTTACTTTCATATATTTCAAGTGCCCGCTGATAGTATTGCTCCACTTCTTCATACTTGTTCTGAAATATTATTGAGTTAAAATATATATATATATATATACTTACCGAAGTATATATATATACTTCGGTAAGTATGAAAGATTCAACGTTTAATTTAGCTGACGTGATTATTGATATGTTTTATAAGTGCTGTTAACAATTGATAAAGTTTCTCTCTGGGGTTTCTGTAATGGTATTAGTTTAATTAGTTTCTTTGTTGAAAATATATTTATGCAAATTTACAATAAAAATTTACGTTTCAACATCATTTTATCGTTTTGAAGGTACCTATACGTTTTTCGTTCATATAAAAAATATTCTAATCTAATTATATCTCAAATTGATTGATATGTCAATAATTGAATAATTGAAATTAAATCACACTATGAATTGGATTGATAAAGAGATTATTATGATTAAAAATTTCGTCTGCAAAGAAATATATTTTTTCAAATTTATCTTGTTCATATGCACTGAGTTTTCCATAATATATGTATTTATGAATTGTCAAAGAGAATAGTTCTTTCTGAGATGTATAAATAAAACCATTATATATATATATACAACGTGTAACGTAATTAACGCACACCCTCAAATACCCCAATGCGTATATAATGATATAAACGCAATGCATACACCAAATATTATTTATATGTGCGTTTGAATTTTTTATTTGTGAAATTAGTTATCCCAATTTCGTGCAAATAATATGGTCCGCTCGCCGCGCCCGCGCCCCTCTCTCCGAGTGCCGTCCGACAATAAGAAGTAGGTAATAATAAGTACACGAAATAACTACATACATTATGATTTTTCTTTCCATCACACTTTTCAAGCTTTAGATTGTTGACATTGAATTGTCTTTTTAATGTGAAGCCAATATTTTATAATTACTGATTTGTTAAATTAAATTTGTAAATAGGAATTATTAAACAGCTGATAACGCGTGATTTGAATAGACACCACAATACCTACGACAAAGTTAAACACAGTCGGCCTGTTTAAATGGTGTGTATCAAAATATTTACAATAATTTAAAGATCATAAACAAACTTACAGTTTAATTTGCACTCGCACAGCGTTGTCGTTTTAAAACATTTTCAAAATGTCCACCGCCTTGTTTTATGCACTTTAATGACCGTTTTCGCAATTGTGGTTTTATTTTAGATAATACTGCAATGTCACTTTTCACTTTTACAAAGGCGGTTATTATCTTATTTTTTAGTTCCTCGGCACTTGTTATCTCTGTGTTATAAACTAGCGATTTAATTCGCCCCCACAAAAAAAAGTCGAGTCGCGTCAAATCAGCTGATCTAGGAGGTCAATGGACACGTGCGTTACCTACGCACTACCTACCTACTTGATGTATTGAATGTTAGTGTACCGAAACGACGCGGCGTAACTAACCCAAAACACATTTTGTTGACTTCGATGTTTAGTTATTATTACTCTGATTCCCGGAATTATGCCTGCCGTCTCGCTCTATTGTAATGTTATTAAGCCGAAGAAAGAAGGAGAAAGGAATAATTTTTGTATTACGCGGCTTTCTTTTATGCACTGTAGTGACCTTGCTGTGTGCCGGTTGTCGCTATGGTGTTGCGTGCGTAGTTATTATTAAATACTATTTTAGCCTTGAAATAAGTATCAGTTTTCTTTAATTGAATGATGATTACTAATTAAATATTTCATTTTAAAAATCTTAATACCCTGACTTACGATCCATTTTCGTTTCCATTAATTTTCGTTTCTATGAAGTGTTTAGATAACTGTGTGTAGGTGACTATAATTTACTTAGTTCTATCTAAATTTGAGAAAAAAAAAGACCTACATAAAAAACTATCAAAATCGATCCAGTATCCGATTCTGATCAAACTACTTTCAGGGTGTGCGTTAATTATGTTACACGTTGTATATATATATATATATATATTTAAGGAACATATTATATATGCGTCGCAGAATTAGAGCGATGTAAAATCATGTTCGTTATTAGATTACGAGATATTGAATTTCTTTTAAACGATCAGTCCGCACAACCGGCGCAAGCACGAATTCCCGACTGATATTATAGTTAGTGTGGTCGATAGCTTACGAAACAATTTGAAGTTAAAAGGAGACTTCATAAGTTTCTAATTAATAAAACGAATGAATTTAAAGGTTGATATCAGTAACTATCTCTAACATATATAATGTATGTTATAGTATATAATATATTCACCTGATTCTGACAGAGCAACGCCAGGTTATTTAGTTGTTTAGCGACGTCCGGGTGGTCTCTTCCTAGCACGGCCTCGCGGATACACAGGGCGCGCTTACACAGGGGCTCGGCTTCACGGTACTTGCCTGGATGAAAATATTATATTAATATTGTAACACATTGATTTTTTGTATAATCATCATTCTATCAGAGCCGACTTCTGAGCAAAGTCTTCTTCACATGGAGAAGGTTTGAGCATTAATCACCACGCTTGGTGATTTCAAACTTATAATTTGATAATAAGTCCAGGTTTCCTCACGATGTTTTCCTTCATCTGTCAGTGGTGTCTAAATACTCTTAGACAGTACATATGACTTGGAAAAATGACGTTGGTTCTTGCCGGGTTTCGAACCCGCGCCCTCACTCTCGTGCATGCCATGAGGCATGCACGAGAGGCGGGCCTTTAACCATTAGGCCATTATGCTATCATCAATGTATGACGTTTTTTGTATGTATGTATGTGTGTATGTATGTCTATATGTATGTATGTATGTATGTTTGTACGTGATTCACCTCGTTTCCCATACAGGACAGCCAGGTTGTTGAGTGTAGCGGCCACGGCGGGGTGATTCTCCCCCAGCGTTTTCTCTCTAATAGACAGAGCGTCGTTCAACAAGTTCGCTGCCTCTTTGTATTTATTCTGATCGCTGTTAACATATATAACAATCATTTTAACTTATCTATTGATTTCAATGAGTTACACTTTTTCATACAAATGATAGTTAAGATTGATAGTTAAACTACAATTAAGATTACAAATAACAAATAGTAGTGATATTAAACAAGATCAGTGAAATCATCTAATATATGGATTCTTGATCATTTTTTAAATATATTTGAAGATTTTAAATTGACAACACTTAGAGGCAAAGAGTTTTAACTATAGGAAAATTTTAATAATGATTGACATTACAAGTTTGCACGTTATAGTTTACTTGTATGTATTAATGTATTAAGTGAGATCACAGTTATAATGTATATCTTTAAAGTATGATCTAGACTTTAAAATAATAGGGAAGATACTTTCATATAAGAAAAAGAAAATATGTATGTCTTAATTATTATACTTATAGATTTTGCATTCAATAGACCAAAAGGGAATTTAAATATTAATGCTATTTGTTCCTTATAGCCTTTAAGCATGTGTCTAGTTAGTTAGCTAATTCAACGAGAGATCAGTGACCTATAGCTATATTCTTTTGAATCTATGTTTTACTGTGGATTGTCATATACAGGGTGACTGGTGAATTACTATCGATACTTAAGGACGATCATATATGACAAAATAAAAATTAATATAACATAAATATTAATAAACTTCTAAGTAAAGTTAACCAAAAGTTATGTAATTAATTACGCATTGTGTGAACACCCTACAGATTAGGTATACACTCACACACACATACACGTGCGGCGGCGTAGTGTTGTATCAGGACGCCGCCGCACGCGTCCACACTTGGAACACTTGGAACGTGTCAACACTTTATTTATTTATACGGAAATTTAGTCAAAAATTAAGTGCCTATGTTTTTACATAATTTGAATGAGAATCATGTACCGAGTATTCTCCTTAAATATTGATAGTAATTCACCAGTCACCCTGTATATGTTTTTCAAATCTTTAATGATATTTAATGAAGTATGTATATTATGTACTAAAGCTTAAAAAAAATCTGTTAAAGTAGATCACCCATCAGAGAGCTTTATAAATGTATGTAATGAGTTTTATCCCTACTAATATTATAAATGCGAAAGTAACTCTGTCTGTCTGTCTGTCTGTTACGCTTTCACGCCTAAACCACTGAACTGATTTTAATGAAATTTTATACAGACATAGAGTTGACCTTGAGAAAGAACATAGGATAGTTTTTATCCCAGACTTTTGGAAATGTTCTCTTGGAAAAGCGATATAAACGAACTCCACGCGCGTTAAGCTGCGGGCGGAAAGCTAGTCTTAAATACATATCAAAAATGTCCAGATATACTAGATCACACATCAAATATATGTGAGTGTATCTGTGTAACTTATCGCTAATATAGCAAACTTATCACTAATATAGCAAACTTATATAGCTAACCGGTATACTAGAGCGAGTATATTCAACATAGTGGCTACATCCGGGTGATCGTGACCGGAAGTCTTCTCAAGATCCTCGAGCGCTTGTTTACAGAGAGGCACGGCCACTTCGTAGCGGCCCTGGGACGCATATTGTATGACCAAGTTGTGTAGCGTGCGAAGACGTGCTGGGATTTCATACCCAGCGTTGATCTGCTGAGCGAATTGAGACGGCGGGGTCGGCGACATCGCTGGAATGATATTATATACTGGTTAGTTGTGCGATTTGGAAGTGTTTATAAAATATGATGATCTATATAATATCTCAGACTGTTCAAAGAAAAGGATTTTCTGTTTTAATTTTATATTAAATATTAATTACATGACCTACGAACAGATGATTCACATCAAATTTAAAAAAAATCATCGCCCGAGTAACTAGCACCGGTTAAATAGGTCTATCTACAATAGAAGTAGCTGTAAAGAGAAAGATTACAACTAAATGATGGGTCAATTTAACGATCTTTAACGTAATTTGTTCACAATGAGTATCATTTACGTGTTTAAATTAAACGGATCTGCATTATCCCTGACGATATATTTCTTAACAACTTGGTCTAAACCTCACACGTCATATTACATTCCAGACATAAACGCCAAATCTTTCGCTTCTAACAACATGACCACCCTGATTCTTAATTCAGTTCCAGATCTCACGCTATACAACTTTCATCTTACTTTAATTAGTAAAATTGGTCATGAAATAAGCAATTACTTTTGTTATCTATTGCGGGTAGTTCTAACAGTACGTTCTAAGACCGTGTTAACAGTGTGTCATTATGAATCTATTGTGGGCAGTTCTAACAGTATGTTGTGAGCGCGTCTGTTAACATGCTAAGTCTTCTTCCTGGCGATTTCCCAGCTTTAGCCAGGGTCTGCCTATGCTAAGTGTGTGTTACTTACACTTATTGTTTCTGTTGTCGTCGTGATCTTCGTCGGGGAATAGATCCACCATAGGGTCGTCTCTCTTTCCGTCTGTCTGTCCGCCGCGACTAGATTCCGATTCTTCGGTTATGTCGCTGTCGTATTTACTGGAACAAACATACTAATATAAAATATTACACTTAACTGCTAGCTACCTATATTTTATCAATACTAATATTATAAATGCGAAAGTAACTCTGTCTGTCTGTCTGTCTGTTACGCTTTCACGCCTAAACCACTGAAGTGATTTTAATGAAATTTGGTACAGAGATAGAGTTGAACTTGAGAAAGAACATAGGATAGTTTTTATCACAGACTTTTGAAAGGTTCTTTTGGAAACGCGATATAACCGAACTCTACGCAGGCGCAGCGGCGGGCGGAAAGCTAGTTAAGTATAAACAACCGTATATTTATTATATATAAAAATGAATCACTTTTTCCCTTGGTCACGGTAACACGCGTGAATGGCTGAACCGATTTCACTAATTCTTTTTTTGTTGTATTGGTTATTATTAGGAGAAGGTTCTTATGTAAGAAAAAAATACGAAAATAACTAGAAAAAAAAATCCTACAGTATTTTACTTTTTTAATAAAATAATGTGTTGAATATGGCTTTAATATTCACGTAGTTGAAGTTAAAACAAAGAAAAAAATTAAAACAAATTTACATGCTTTTTGCAAATATATCGGTCAAAGTTGGTCTGTGGTCGGAGTTATATTAACAAAATACCTACAAAATTCATTCACCATTTCTTAGTGTACTTTTCACATTGGTTTCTACAGGATAATTTGTAGTGTAACAGATATTTCTTGATTATAGAGCGGTACGTAGTTCACTGAATCAGGTAGTTTATTATATTATTATTTTGTACTTATAGTAATGATGCGCGCTAGTCATTACACTGCCGAGCGCATGCCACCCCCTCCAGTGGGGTACGTGAGACAGTGTATTATGTCTATTGTATAGATACATACACTACAATGCGGAAAACATATACCAACGCTTATGAATCTAAGAAAAGTTTTCAAACAAAAGAATCAATTGCATTGAAAAAAATCTAGTAGAAAAAAGGACTAGTATAGTATATCATACCGTATAGAAGCCATGAAGTCCAGGTGTTTATTTTCCTCTTCCAGCTGTGAAACTCTTTGCTCAGACGCCTGCAACCGTTGCTGAGCGGCTGCTAACTCATCCCTGAGCCAGGCATTCTCTTGGCATAGTCTGCGTACTTGTGTGCGGAGTTTCTGTTTCTCAGCTTCAACTGATTGGTGATAGGACGCCAACGCCATCATCACCTGGATATTATATACCATATATACCAATTATATACCATATATATCAATTATATACCATATATACCAATTATATACCATATATACCAATTTTATATCGCAAAATTCTTTATAATGAATTTGAATTTAGATATAACATATGATGTCACTGGTTTAATATTACTATCAGTTTGTTAATTATAACTTAAATAATTAACGTTAAATCTTCTAATCTAAAGTTAATTGAAGTAAAACTTTTATGTGATCCAACAAGGTTGCGTTCTCAAAAAATTTATTTCTATCCCTTCGTATTATCGTTTTCACATTACGAATTTTCACCCCTTCCGCGTGGAGGGATTCTAGGAACAATTTTTTCTTTTATTTTCACATCTATAACTAACAAAATATATAAACACTATTTTAACAATAGAATTGAACTCCAAAAATAACGCTATTCAGGTTTACAAAGAAGTCGTTCTAAATTTATGTACCTATGTCAATAGATATTCTGCGTTATACATACAATTGTACGAAATAAAGTTTATAACTCTCAATCGTAGATAGATTACTTCAGAGATGTAATGTATGTAAATTACATACAAACTTACATAACAATTATAATTATTATACAGTACACCAAGTATTGTGTATGAAGGATTTGTTTTGTATTACGACAAAACGCTTTTAGGACAAATAGACAAAAACTGAATATTATTTCACAAACCTCTAAAATTTGTTTAACAAAAAAATAACTTGAAATAATAAGAAAACTCTAAATTCAATCACATATCTACTTATATATTTATGCATTTAGAGCATATTTATAATTCGCGTACATCAATTAATTAGTATGTATTCAATATCAATGCTATAATATTTCATACATTTTCTCACTATATTCATGCAACAAAAGTGCGACGCTAACCCCAAGTCACTTTATACCCCCCACGTGAGGTCAATAACCCCATGATATCATCTGGGGTCCATAGCGTCCCGAATGAGAACATGTTTAGTGTTACATATATATGTTTTTTATCACTACAGTCTTTATACATATACAAGCATATCATACAATAGGTCGTTAAACCCAGTTTTACTAGCTGTGAGAATATTAAAGCATCGTTTCAAATCCTTGGTATATGGGACAAGCTTTAGAGATACAATTCAAAGAGGAATGAGGTCATAGTGTGTACTGTATGTATTTCATCTCAAAAATAAACTGAATACCATGTTCATAGTTTAAATGTTTTCATTTAATGTATAATATCTAACAATTAGTATTATAATTTGAGTGTCATTGTAATTGAAGGTTTGTTTAAATATAGTAACTATATATATTTTATAAGCCATCAATTGTATACTAATTATATATATGTATTTCTTATTACGACTTTCAATAGTAGTGTCTAAAACTCTCGATACTATCGTGTGTGAAAACATATTAATGGAAAACTGGAAAATGTTCGTTTTGCTTTTTGTTCGTGTTGTTTCGTGGTAAGGCTTCTGTTAGGGGAATTTTTATTTTTTTTAGTAAAGGAACATTAAAAATCATATAATTTTCACCAAATAAACTACACTTCCAACTAATAAAATGACCGATGATATTTTATAATCAAATAACTAATTTATAGTTGTGCTAGCTCTATAGAAACTGATATTTTCTCAAAAATATATATTTTCAAAATATACTTCCGATATAAACAAAAACAATCTGCGGTGAAGTAAGGTTTAAATTAAATTGAATTTTAATATCATACATAAAGATTCCAATTAGAATGCATACACTTATATCAGGGGAATTGAATAAGGGATGAAAGATCATAAAAAATAGGTTTTGATTTTCTCAATCATCTCATCTTTGTTCAAGTAATCTTCTATATATATAAAAATGGATTGCTGTTCCTTAGTCTCGCTAAAACTCGAGAACAGCTGAACGGATTTATCTTATCTTAGTCTTGAAATGTTCTTGGAGGTTCAGGATAGGTATAAAAGCTGAAAATAATTGATTCATTACCGGGAAAACCATAAAAACAGCCCTTTTCTATTTCCCATACAAACGTTTTTTTGACATTAGATTTGACAACTAATTAATACTCGTATGTCAATCATTCTGTCGCACTTCAAAACACGGAGATTCATGGCTTACAGGTAAACTCCAAAAATATAAATAAGAAAACGTAACAGATATTTCTTGATTATAGGGCGATACGAAGTTCGCCGGGTCTTCTAATATATTATATAAAGTGTGGAACGGCGATCGTGACTGGCGTCCGTTCAAACAAAGCTCGTATTGATTTTAACTTACAATTATAAACCATACTACATACTGTATGAAGCTTTTAAACGACATTTTTATACGTGTCACAATTTAGTGGGTATAAAGTATAAAAAATAATATTAAATAATTAGCTGAATTTAATCTTACTATTACTATGTATTTTTAATTTTAATTAAAATCTTATGTGAGAAAAAAAATTATACCCAGATTGATCAATAATAAGTAGATTTTTTGTTTATATTAAAAAAAATACATAAAATGATTTTTATTGTTCAAAGTATATAAATACCTATTCGACAATACTCTTATTTCTATTAATAAAAAAATATGAAATATATATGTAATAAAATGGCCTTTACTTATGCTGGTCCAAATTATTTATTATACAATGACAGTATATAATGAGAAAATTTCTTTCTTTGTATATGAATACCAAGTGTTATACAAAGATTTAATACGCAATACGTAAAGTTAAAAGTACATATTATGAATAATACATGTCATAATTAATTGAAATACAATTCAACTCATTTTTTTAAATAAAATGGTATTAAATTTAAAATTGCTTCAGAATACGACATACTGAAAACGTAGACTATATCATAAAAATAAAAAGCAGTAGCTAAATCATTTGAACCAAATAGTATTATATGCATTAATAGCTTCAAAAAATAAGTCTCTAAGAAAACAAATTATAATGAAAAAAACCATCAAAGATGAAACTAATATTATTCGGATTACTACTCGTATTTTATTATTTTAAACTACATACTCCTGACGTTTCGGTTACTTTACATGAGTAGCTTGTTCATTTAAACCATATATGTAGGTATAAAATTCATTAATTGATACGAAAATGAATGTTAAAAGTATCTGAGAAAACAAATTATAATGTAGCCATCAAAGATGACTAGGGTTGCAAAAAAAAATCCTTTAAAAAAAAATATATAGGAACCTGATATAAAATGCATTAATTGCTTCCAAAATAAATGTTAACTGTTAAGTCTCTTAGAAAACAAATTATAATGTATCCAACAAAGTTGACTAGGGTTGAACAAAAAATGTATTAACCAAGTAATGAACGTATAGTAATTCTTTTCTGACCTGTGCCTCTCCCAGCCCTAGCTCGATGGCGTCGATGCTCTTCCTCACGAGGGCCACCTTCTCATCATGCTCCGTGTTGGCAGCCAGCCCCGCCAGTAGCTGCGCGTGTTCCGCCTTCAGAGCCTCGAGCCCGGCGGCCACCGTTCTTGCCCCCGTTACCATTTCCTCCTGCGACATCGCTGTCATTCTGCCCAGAGATTCGATCTTCTTACTATTGGAAACAAAATAAATAAATATTAAAAATCAAGCAAAAGTTAAGTTAAATGCTTAAAAAATTGATAAAGTCAAGTTAGGACAGTTAATATTTATTATTCAGGTAGTTTTTATCAGTTATTTTTTTAAGAGTGCCAGTCAGATATAAATTACTATTTCTGAAAGTAATGCAGACGAAGTTGCGGACAAAAACTAGTATATGACTACCTACCCTTTTAGTACAATAATAAATTGTTCCGTTAGGGTCAAGGGTTAAAACAATCAATAGATCGATACATCTTTTTCATACGTAGGTATTATATTATATGTAGGATACGCTTCATATATAATATGAGGAACCCATATACATAGTTCCATAACATTTAATTCTCATCACTTCTGACTAGTTTATTTCGGTTATACGATTACTTAATATCTGATACAAGACTTCTATAAGATAACCAGGGAGGAAACCTTGATCATTTTGTGTACTTAATAAACATATCGCATACGACTTCACTACATTGTCGAGTGAAGTGACTTTATCAATACCCTTAATACAAGTTTGTATCGTGATACTACATACGGAACGTTAATAGTTTTCATTAGTATTCACACTTCATAGTATTAAGTAGGAATGAGAAACTGAAAGCGCTACGCATATAGTATGAAATTTTGATAATTTGAAAATGAAGAGAAGTCATGAGATATTATATGGAATATTTAAACCACAATTTCATTAAGTGTTTTTAAAAGTTGGAGGTTTTTTTAAGGGGTAACAAAGCAAGTTATATTTTATTTTTATACAGACATAAAACAAGAGTATGGGTTTGTTTAATATTCAACGTAGAGAATTCTTATCGAGTTTTAATAGGCCAACGAAACAAGATAAATTGTGTAAACTTCTACTGTTAATTATTTTCTATTTTTAACGTGTCTATCATAGTCACAATCAAAATCAAAGTATTTATCATATATAGCTTACAAAATGTAACTGAATGTATATTAAACACATTTTCCTTCGATGCAGAAGACTTTTTGTAGAGCATTTTTTCTAATAACTAATACTTTACACTGATAATAATAAGAACAGAATTTTTACATACATATGTATATTATATCTACGGATCAATTTTTTTATCTATAAATATTGGTAGTAGAACTATTTCATAATCTGACAGTTTATTTACAGTCTATATCTATTTTTATTGGCTTGCTGTAGATTAGATAAAGTTAGACAAATACTTGAAAAAAATACGTTCAATAAAAATACTATTTAAAAATGTAGTACTTGATATATATTTATATTATTATATAATTTAGTATGAAAAGTGCATTAATAGAAATAGGATTCGAACTTAGGACCCTTTGCATATGTCCTCCCAGTCACTTTTCTATATAAGCTATAGTGCCCTACTACGATTACAATAATAAATTTTATATAATAATTGTCTAGGATCATATCGAAAGTCTTCTATTTCTTTTTATGATTTCCACCTCAGAAACCAATTTTCCGAATCAATTGGTCATAGTAATATAAATAAACGAATTGAAAACGAAAATTAGGTCAATACTGTTAGGGAATGTTCCACTGACTATAATCCAATTATTTTCACTAATTAAGTTTGGTGAGCTTGTCGTAATCCCATTTTTGTTATAATACATGTCAGTAATATTATACGTTACGGTGATTTTGTTAACCCAAACCTTATATATACATAAATAATAATTATTATACTCGTAAATCACGTCATTTTTCTTATATGTACCTATTCTTTTGCATTTAATTAAAATACTACATAACTAGTGTTACCCAAATGCAAGAACAAGACCCAGAACTCAAGAACAAGACCGATTTTGGGCAACACTAGAACAAATTTCTACGATAAAGAGAAATGGAAAAATTAATTATGTGTTCGATAACTTTTAAAATCCGATTTTCTAAACCGACCTGAATGAAATGGTATGAAGTGTATAAGTTTTGAGAATAAAAGCTATTTATTTAGCATTTTGACCTTATATGGTATAAATGTAAGAAAAATAGCGATAAATAAATATTGTGAGTAATTTAAACCATCGTTAATAATACAAATTAATCAAAAGTTGTCAAGTTATTCCGTTCATACGTGAGAGTATGTGACGGGAAGCTGCGAGGAATGCAAATTATACATAAATGGGTCAATAGCTTTTATTGTATAATGGAAACGTCGCTCAATTTATTGACAGTTATCATTTGATACATGTGTTGCAGGAAGTTACTTGTACGGACGTTTTGTATCCCGGCTGGATTTTTTTCATTGATTAGTTTTGAGATATCAAATTTAGTAATTTTTAATATTTCCTTTTTTCCTAAATTACTGCTACATTTGATTAATATAAAGACGTCACAACTTCAATGCTTAGTCAACGTTGTAAACATTTACTTGAAATTCTAGTCACTTCGTGAAAACGTCGGGGTGAGTTATTACCTACTGTGTGCTGTAAACTTACAATTTAAAAGATGTTGAGAGGTTTTAAGATTATAATGTAATTTACGTAAAATATTAAGTATATAAGGAGTTTGGATCTTGTATATACATATAGTTAATAATAGTGAATAACATTTATACCAAAACATAATTATAAAATAGACTTTTTTATATAATGTATTTATTATATAAAGCAGTTCTTAAAACACACTAATTTATATAGATTAAAAATAACAGCAAAACTTTCAATACATGTGATGACTTATTGCATAGACCTTAAAAAATCGATAAAATCAACCCACCCTACTCCTAAGACCCCACAAAACTCCACGCAGTCTCTTGTACTCTAAGCATTTTATTAATTCTATGAAACGAAAACATTATATTCAAATAATTTTACATACTTTTGGATCTTATCCCTACTATCAGTTCGCATACTCATACTACGTACTATTGACATTAGTAGATAGTATAATTTGTAAATATTTATTAATGAAAAACTTCAAAAGCTACGTGTGTAGTGTGTCTATAGAAACATGTAGTATTTATGAGAATAAACGAAGACAAAATTCCAGTTCAATGAGCCACAATCCAGCAGAGACAAAGGATTCACATGCGCCCTCTACTAGTGAGGGTCAATAAAAATATACATAAACATACGCATTATTTAAATGAAACTAATATTTTTCGATATCACAATGATTCCGTAATCACGATTGCTGAAAAGTAGTCGAAACGTTTGGAGTATGTAGTTTTTATACAAAAAGTCACGTAGTATATCCGAAAAAAATATTAGTTTCATTTAAATGAATGAAACTCGCGAAAACTTAGATCTCAATATACTCATTGTACCAGAAAAACAAAACTATGGAACATTAAAAAAAACCAAAGTAATTAATATTATTTAACACAATTTATCATGATCACGAAATGATAATTGTGTAACAAACTTTACAAACATACAGAAGGCTTCGGGCACTTATTACCCCTTACCCTCCCGTGGGGGTAATGGACGACGTGGGGGGAATAAAACACCATCACCATGGCAACCAAGGTCGATAACCCCCCCGGCAGGCTTAGGACAGACGTAAAACAAGACATATAAAAACATTGTAAGGGGTAATAAGTAACCACATATAAAGAACTATATTATGCTATTGTATGTTATGGATTTAATTAGGATGTACTAAATAAATATAGCTATGTTGATTAATGAACAATAGGGCTCTATATTATGAGTTAACAAATATATTAAGAAACTAGTCTATACTTAATTTCACTGAAAGCTAAACGCAACTAGCCTGAAATATTAAAAATAATAATATAATTACTTTCGTATTATTTACATATAAAATATATAGGAATTTTCTATAACAAGTAATTTATAAAAGCACTCAACTAAACAGTATGAATGAACAAAATATTCATTCACAAAATCTAAATTAATTTACACAGTGTACGGAAGGGTTGTTCAAATCGATTCGTCTAGACAAAAACGAGCAACTCCATGTATTAAATATATATTGGGACCGGTTACTGATATTTTTAACCAGACGTAGATGAACAAAGAACTATGCATCGGATCGATGGCAACTGGCTGCATTTACACCGACTTGTAACATAGTGTTTTGCTATCTATGTATTTATTCTATGGCAGTACCGAAAATATTCATTATTCATCTATAAACATGTAGTGATAAAATAGGTGTCATTGAAAACTAATATGCTTGTTATGATAGAAAAAAAATATATACTTCTTTAAAATATATTGATGGACAAAAATTTAGAAGAACGAATTATTATTATTAACTATCTGATAAGAGTGTCTGCGTCTGTAATTTAAAATATCAATAAAAAAGTGGTATGTGCAACATATGTAAAACTAAACACGTAGAGGTGATAACAATAGTTATTTGATGATTTCAATACATTTCATTAAACTGTAATATAAAGTATATATTATGTATAATTAAGTGTAGTTTTATCATGATTTCCTCACAACTGAAGACCTTATTAATTATTATAAATATGGTTTTATACATAAAAGCTATTTGATTAATATCATATAATATTATTTATATTTAAGTTTGAACAGACGTTTTACTTCCACGTAATTTCAATGTAGACCTCATTTATATCATGAATTATTTGAACAGTTCCACTATAAGGCAATTTATCATACACAACATTTTTGTTAATATTCTGACACATTATTTTAAATGTCTACACTATTTGGTCGAAATGTATTTCATTAACATTCTCAACGTTGAAAACTATTCGCATTAAGGTCAAGAATGTGAGCAAGTCGACGACAAAAAGAAAAACAATTGTTATATTATACTTAATATATAATAAAGAAAAAAATTACTGAATGTGGATTTGAAATTTTCAAAAAAAATAATGATGTCGCTCAAAGAGATATCATCATATGAAGATGAGAAACAAAATTTACTTCGTAAAATATTTAAGTTACTTTGTGTATTTATCATTCTATTCCTACTAATATTATAATTGCGAAAGTTTGTG